AGAGGGAGGTGAGAGAAGGAGTGTGTGTTTTTTTGGGAAGGGTGTGTTTGTTGTGTGTGACAGAGAGGGGAGGTGAGAGACAGAGAGAGTGTGTTTTGTGAACAGTGGTGTTTGGTGAAGAGAGAGTGTGTGTGTGTGTTGTGTATGTTTTTGTGTGATGGTGTTTTTGTGTGACAGAGGAGGGTTGGTGTGTTTGTGTGACGAGAGATTTGGGGGGTTTTGGGTGTGTGTTGTTTGACAGTGTTTTTGGTGACAGGGGTGTTTGTTGAAGTGGTGGGTGTTTGTGTGACGAGGGAGGTTTGGTTTTGTGTGAAGAAGAGGTGGTGTGTTTGTGGACAGAGAGTGTGTGTGGTGTGTAGAGGGGAGAGGGTGGGGGGTGACAGAAGGGGTGTGGACAGGGGGTTGGGTGGTGTGTGGTGTCGGAGGAGGTGGTGTGTGTGACAGAGGAGTGTGGTTGTGGTGGAAGAGAGTGGTGTTTTTGGGTGTGAAAAGGGAGAGGTGTGGTGAAGGTGTGTTTTGAGAGGGGGGTGGTTTTGTGTGAAGAGGGGAGTGTGTTTTTGTGGACAGAGAGAGGTGTGTTTGTGTGAAAAGGGAATGTGTGTGGGGACGGGAGTGTGTGGGGGAAAAGGAGTGTTTGGGGTGGTGTGTGAAGAGAGAGGGTTTGTGTGGGACATGGGTGTTTGTGTGACAGGTGTGTTTTTGTACAAGAGTGTGGTTTGTGGGGGACAGGAGTGGTTTGTGTGTGAAGAGTGTGTGGTTTTGTGACAGATGTGTGTTGGAGAGAGGGGAGGGTGTGTGTTGGTGTGTGACAGAGAAGGTTGTGTGTGTGACAGAGGTGTGTGTGTGTGTGTGTGTGTGAGAGAGGTGTGTTTTTTTGAAGAGAGATTTTGTGTTTTGTGACAGAGAGGTTTTTGGTGACAGGAGTGGTTTTTGTGACAGAGAGATGTGATGTGTGACGGGTTGTGTGTTTGTGTGACAGAGGGGGGTTTTTTGTGACAGTGGGGTGTGTGTGGACGAGAGGTGGTGAAGAGGAGTGTGTGTGTTTTGTGTTTGTGTGACGAGAGGTGGTTTGGGTGACAGAGAGTGTGTTTTGTGTGTGACGAGAGTGTGTGTTTGTGTGTGACAGAGAGAGTTTGTTGTGGTGCAGGGGGAGAGTGTGTGTGGACAAGCGGAGAGTGGGGTGTTTTGGACAAGGGAAGTGTGTTTTTTTGTGTGTAGAGAGTGTGTGGTTGGGGGGTGTGTGGGGTTTGGGGTTTTTGGTTTCAGAGGTGTGTTTTGTTGCAGAGGAGTGGTGTTGTGTAGAGAGAGGGTGTGTGTGTGTAAAGAAAGGGGGTTTGTTTTTTTTTTGGGGTGTGTTGAAGAGAGTGGGGGGTGACAGAGTGTGGGGGGTTTGTGAAGAAGGGGGGTTTTGTGAAGAGGGGGGAGCGGGGGTGTGAAGAAGTGGGGTTTGTGTGAAGAGAGAGGGGGTGTGTGTGAAGAGAGGGTGGGGGTTTGTGTTTTGTCAGAGAGAGGAGGGGGGGTGTGTGTGTGACAGAGGGTTGTGTGTGTTGGAAGAGGGGGAAGGTGTGGGGGAAGGAGTGGTGTTGGACAAGAAAAGTGTGTGTTGGGAAGAGAGTGGTTTGGGTTTGTGACAGAGAAGGGTGGTGGGGACAGAGGGGGTTTTTTGTGTGACAGAGAAGGTTTTTTGGTGTAAGGGGGAATGTGTGTTGGACAGAGATTTTTTTCGAGGTTGTTTGTGGACAAGGGTTTTTGGGTGTTTTTTGGGGACAGAAAAGGTGTGTGGTATGTGACGGGTTGTGTGTTGAGAGAGAGAGTGTGTGGTGTGTGGTGGTGACAGAGAGGTGTTGTGGACAGAGTGTGTGGGGTGTTGAGAGAGTGTGTTTTTTGTTTGACAGAGAGGTTTTTTTTTGTTTGACGAGGGTTGGTTTTTTTGGTGACAGAGAGGTTTTTGTTTGTGTGACAGGGGGTTTTTTGGTGACGGTGGTGTGTGGACAGAGAGGAGGGTTTTGGGGTGTGACAGAGGTGTGTGTTTTGTGACAGAGAGTGGTTTTGGGACAGAGAGCGTGTGTGTGTGGAAGAGAGAGGGGGTTGTGGACAGAGAGAGTTTGGGGACAGAGAGTGTGTTTGGGGGACAGGTGGTTTGTGGAAGAGGGTGTTGTTTGGGAGGTGTGTTTGTGTGCCCGAGATGGGTTTTGTGGGACAGAGAGGGGGGGTTTGTGACAGAGAGAGTGGGTTTTTTGACAGAGAGGGGTGGGTTTGTGAAGAGGAGGTTGGGTTTGTTGACAGAGAGAGTTGGGGGACGGGTTGTGGGGGGACAGTGGTGGGGAAAAGAGATTTTTTTTGGGGACATAGAGAGTGGGTTTGGTGCAGTGTGTGGGACAGAGAGAGAGTGGGTATGTGACAGGGGAAGTGTTTTTTGTGACAGAGAGAGTGTTTGTGGGGGGGGAGGGTTGGGGTGTGTGTGACAGAGAGTTTGGGGGGGACAGGTTTTGGGTGGTGGGTGTTCAGAGAGGAGAGGGGGGTTGGGTGTGTTGACGAGAGTGTTTTTTGGGGGTCAGAGAGGGGGTCTGTGGACAGAGGAGAGAGTGTGGTGTGTGGTTGGGGGTGAAAGAGAGTTGGGTGTGCATAGTGTTTTTGTGTGAAGAAAGGGGTGTTTTTGGGTTGCAAGAGAGTGGTTTCGGACAGAGAGGTTTTTTGTACAGAGTGTTTTTGGGAAGAGAGGTTTTTGTGTGAGAGGGAGGGTGGGGTGGAGAGAGAGGAGGGTGTGTTGGAGGGAGGAGGTTATGGGGGAGAGAAGTGTGTGTGTGTGTGAGAGAGAGAGAGTGTGTGTGTGAGAGTGTGTGTGTGTGACAGAGAGAGTGTGTGTGTGACAGAGAGTGTGTGTGGTGACGGAGAGTGTGTGAAGAGAGAGGTGGTTGTGGACAGAGAGAGTGTGGTTTGTGTGACAGAGAGAGTGTGTGTTTGTGTGACAGAGAGGAGTGTTTGTGTTTGATGTGACAGAGAGAGGTGTGTTGTGTGTGGAAAGAGAGAGGTGGTGTGTTGTGTGTGACAGAGAGAGTGTGTGTTTGTGTGACAGAGAGAGTGTGTGTTTTGTGTGACAGGAGAGTGTGTGTTGGTTGACAGAGAGAGTGTGTGGTTTGTGTGACAGAGAGAGTGTGTGTTTGTGTGACAGAGAGAGTGTGTGTTTGTGTGACAGAGGAGAGTGTGTGTGTTTGTGTGACAGAGAGAGGTGTGTTTGTGTGACAGAGGAGGAGTGTGTGTTGTGGACAGAGAGAGTGTGTGTTTGTTGTGTGACAGAGAGGAGTGTGTGTTGTGTGACAGAGAGAGTGTGTGTTTGGTGACAGAGAGGTGTGTGTTTGTGTGACAGAGAGAGTGTGTGTTTGTGTGACAGAGAGAGTGTGTGTTTGTGTGTGGACAGAGAGAGTGTGTGTTTGTGTGACAGAGAGAGTGTGTGTGTGTGACAGAGAGAGTGTGTGTTTGTGTGACAGAGAGAGTGTGTGTTTGTGTGACAGAGAGAGTGTGTGTTTGTGTGACAGAGAGAGTGTGTGTTTGTGTGACAGAGAGAGTGTGTGTTTGTGTGACAGAGAGAGTGTGTGTTTGTGTGACAGAGAGAGTGTGTGTTTGTGTGACAGAGAGAGTGTGTGTTTGTGTGACAGAGAGAGAGTGTGTTTGTGTGACAGAGAGAGTATGTTTGTGTGACAGAGAGAGTGTGTGTTTGTGTGACAGAGAGAGTGTGTGTTTGTGTGACAGAGAGTGTGTGTTTGTGTGACAGAGAGTGTGTGTTTGTTTGACAGAGAGAGTGTGTTTGTGTGACAGAGTGTGTGTGTTTGTGTGACAGAGAGAGTGTGTATGTGTGTGTGACAGAGAGATAGAATGCCCTGTCATCCAAGGTGTGTGTCCAGCTGCTTGTTTTCTACATTACTCTTCCGAACCACCTGGGAAATGGTCAGTGGTCAGGGAGATGTAACCTTTAATATGTTCCCTTCCATTTGGCGGTAGCTACTCCATTAAATGTAAATGTTTTTAACTAACGTTGACTAGACTAACGCATGGAATGGAATGTTTTAAGAGGTAGGCATTAGTACGCTGCCCCAGGGAGATGACCCATTATAAAAGAGACATCTAAAAATGATTTTTATTAGTGACCTTGTAGTGCCATTAGGTAATGTATTAGAGTATTTCTTTACAACGGCCATTTCCTCTACTGATCCAGAAGTCTGTTTTTTCGACAACAAGAACATACCCATTGATGCAATGTTGGCTAAGCCTAGCTGAAATATCTAGCTTATGTCCTTACTATTCATACAGCGCTACAAACTCTAGATAGAGACAACAAACGGCCTCAGAAGACCAGCCAATGAGCACTATGCATTTCCCTTTAGATCATATTGATTAAGTCTCATCAAAGGGCCTGTGTATCTCTAATGCGACGGACCCGCTCGCTCTCTAAAGAGCTTTCTCCACTTTGAGGCATGATGGTATTGATAGCACTGTCACTGTGCAGAGCTTGTCTTGTTTTCCCCGCATCGTAACATGGTATCCCTTTCATTTTGGAGTAGTGCTGAGCATGTGGATAATTTACATAGATCTGATTCAGGGAGTAGCGCTCTATTCACTGTGCTTTTAAAGTTGTGGTTCTCATTAGCACTTTGCCAGTCTTTTCTCTCCTCCCATTGTAACAGACTTAATGGCCTTTTCAAAGTTGTCTCCTATGATTCGATGCTACCTACTTACGGCAGAGGTGTGCCATTGTGAGAAATGAAAAACGAGCCTATTAGTGATTATAATGGATAAGCTAGCTTTGTGTGAAAAGGTGAGCGAATTGAGAACATGTCTACACATGGTAATGTGGTTCAGGAAGATGGCGGCCCAAGTTCAAGGTGTTGAATTCTGTATCTTGACTTCACTGTATGAAATACACTGATCACATCTGGCGACTGTACACGGATTTTGAAATGGTTTGTCTCACAGGCTGTCTTCAGAACGTCTTATTAACTCCCATGTCTGTCCTCTGCCCTACAGAGAAGAAAAGGCGGAATGTGGAGCTGATCCCTCTGACGGCGCGGATGATCATGACACACCTTGTGAACCACCTGGGCCACCATCCCCTCAGCGGTGGCCCCGCCCTCTTACACAGCCTGGTCAGTGAGAACCACGACAACCCCTTTGTGGAGTCATCAGAGCTCTCCTCGGAGGTGTTCAAGAGCCCCAACCTGCAGCTGTTTGTTTTCAACGACAGCACCCTGGTGTCTTACCTCCAGGTGCCCTCGGAGCCCTCTGGTCCAGGGGAACCCCACGACAACTCCTCCCAGGTACGCGTCATCGTCAGGGACATCTCTGGAAAGTACTCCTGGGACGGAGGGGTTCTCTACCGCACCCAAGATGGAGTCAACCAGATGCATCAGGGGAGTGAAGAGTCTTCAAACCACTCCACCACCAAGCCCACCTCGCCCGGGACCTCTGAACGCTCCTACCATCCAGGCTGCGACTCCCAGTCAGGCTGTGAGGAGGAGGAGGTGGATGTCCTGGACCAACTCCTGGAGGACCTGGGCTACAGCAGCCCTGAGTGCCTGCCCCAGCTCCGGCTGAGGCTCAACCAGCCAGCCCCCTCTCCCTGCGGGATGAACCTGGAGCAGGAGAGGGCCATCGTGGAGGCCATCCTCAGGCAGACACAGCAGGAGGAGGAGCAGGTGAAGAGGTGGAACGCAGACGTGAGCGTCAAGGCCGCCGGCCAGAGAGAACCCACTCACCAGGAGCCCAAAGCCCCCTTCTACTTCTGCAGGCTGCTACTCAACGACCTGGGCATGAACTCATGGGACCACAGGTACAGAGCAGAGCACAACACCTCCACAGCTGTAGACTAGTTAGAAGAATACCTCACAGAGAGAGAAAAAAAGTCTGGCATGGCAGGGTGTGGAGTCTGTTAATCTGCTCTCCACAGGCAACTGTGCCCAACTGTTTTCACTCAGGTCCACCTTGGCAGGTGGCAGGTGCCTTCTGCTGAATGTGAGGCTCACACCTCTGGGGAAGGAAGCGGAGACCACCTCCAGTAGATTATTAATTTCTCCGAGCCCAATTTAAACCTCTACACCTGTTACTCCTCAGACCAAAAACCAAACTAAAACATGAAACTTTCTTATCCTACTTTCAGTCTGTGTTTTACCATTCAACAATAACAGGCCCAAGCTTTGCACTGGTACACTGTGAAGGGCCATCTGGCTGATCATTTAACAATTCTAATAATTGTCAATGGATGCATTCAAGTTCAATTTTGTTTATTCCTTTTCAGGAAAAGCTTTCATCTCCTGAAGAAGAACTCCAAGCTCTTGAGAGAACTGAAGAATTTGGATTCCAGACAGTGGTATGTTCTTACACACCCATTATTTAGGGCCTCTTCAGCACACACTGTATCCCTAGATAACATTGGTATAAATGATGTGCTTCTTGTTCGGTATTTTAAAAAAATGAATTTACTGAATGATGTATCATAGTCTTTCATTTCTAATGAAGACCTTTTTAATAAACCAACCTAGATTTCAGCTGGGTATATTCTAGTTAAGCCTGCATTCCATATCAGTCATTACTCTGAACCTAAGCCCACTAATGAAGCTTCCCTTCCTCTAAATCATTAAAGATCACACTCTCAAGGCGACATGTATTAAAACAGCTCCACGCTTTCCTCCTCCTCTCCTCCTAATCCACACCATCTCAGGCTGGTCACAGCTCGGCAGCACTCACACACTCGCACACAGCGATCAATAGGCACTCCACACTGCTAATGACTGGGGCTTATTAAAGAATACCCCCAGGATTGGGCATCATTCTGCCAGGCCAGCGAGCATACCTGGGCCGCTCATGGCAACCTGTGTCGAAACATGCAAAATGCCCCCAATTTAACACAGAGCCACGCGCCACACTGGCAACAATGAAGCACATGGGTGGAACTCTGTCTGCTCTTGTTTTGTTTGTCACATGAGGTGGGGGATATGAGGAAAGTAAACACACACACATACTATTGTGTACTCACTCTGACACACACACACACACGCTGCTCGCTCTAATATTAGACCATGTTAGCTACGACTATTTTGCACAGTGTTGTGTGGAGGTGTACGTTTGGAGGTGTGTAGTTCACATTTCAGAGCACGCTCATCTTAACTGGGCTGAGTGGGGAGTAGGGATGTGCAACGATATTGAAATATTTGAATACTGAAAAAGAAAATGTATAGGCCTATTTTAACACAAAGGCTTTTTCTAAATTAAATTAAAATATCCATGTGATATTGTTACATACAAGGATATACCATGACATTTCAATTAATTAATTTAATGAAACCAATAACGTTTCAATGTTGATTTTATGATGTTTGCCCCATTAAAACGACTGGTTGCCTTCATGTGCAGTTTGTTTATGTTTGCTAAGCAAAGCGGCAAAGAGCCTCCATGTGTAGTGATTTCAGTGCAATTACGGAATGAAAAGTTAGCAAAATGAGAAGGAGTAGGCTACAACCAGCAACCATCTGAATGGGGTTGGGTTATATGGAGTGATAAATAACATTGTGGCTGCTACAAGTTAGCTAGTCTTGGCTGTAGCCGAGTAGCGTCGCTCTCTCCGCCTCCATCTGCTCGCTCCCATCTCACCAGCCGCTCCACAGCTGCGGCGATAGAGCGCCAGCCTCGCGCAGCAGTGCTCATGTTAAAAACGTACGTTTAGAAAACCACATGTATTACAAATATCCAGATATCCGACAAAAATGAATGATACTATTCAAATAGTGAAATGATTTCAAACCCCTATCCCCACAGTGTAACTGCATTAGGTTCATTGTTCTAACAACAGATCTTGTGTGTTTGTCTTACAGCAGGGAGACGCACAAGATTGCTGTGTTCTACATCGGAGAGGGTCAGGAGGATAAGTGCTCCATCCTGTCCAACAGCACAGGCAGCCAGGCCTACGAAGACTTTGTGTCAGGCCTGGGATGGGAGGTACAGAAAACACACACCCCTGCAGTATCTCTCTTACAGTGGGGGAAAAAAGTATTTAGTCAGCCACCAATTGTGCAAGTTCTCCCACTTAAAAAGATGAGAGAGGCCTGTAATTTTCATCATAGGTACATGTCAACTATGACAGACAAATTGAGAAAAATAAATCCAGAAAATCACATTGTAGGATTTTTAATGAATTTATTTGCAAATTATGGTGGAAAATAAGTATTTGGTCACCTACAAACAAGCAAGATTTCTGGCTCTCACAGACCTGTAACTGTCCTCCACTCGTTACCTGTATTAATGGCACCTGTTTGCACTTGTTATCAGTATAAAAGACACCTGTCCACAACCTCAAACAGTCACACTCCAAACTCCACTATGGCCAAGACCAAAGAGCTGTCAAAGGACACCAGAAACAAAATTGTAGACCTGCACCAGGCTGGGAAGACTGAATCTGCAATAGGTAAGCAGCTTGGTTTGAAGAAATCAACTGTGGGAGCAATTATTAGGAAATGGAAGACATACAAGACCACTGATAATCTCCCTCGATCTGGGGCTCCACGCAAGATCTCACCCCGTGGGGTCAAAATGATCACAAGAACGGTGAGCAAAAATCCCAGAACCATACGGGGGAACCTAGTGAATGACCTGCAGAGAGCTGGGACCAAAGTAACAAAGCCTACCATCAGTAACACACTACGCCGCCAGGGACTCAAATCCTGCAGTGCCAGACGTGTCCCCCTGCTTAAGCCAGTACATGTCCAGGCCCGTCTGAAGTTTGCTAGAGTGCATTTGGATGATCCAGAAGAGGATTGGGAGAATGTCATATGGTCAGATGAAACCAAAATAGAACTTTTTGGTAAAAGCTCAACTTGTCGTGTTTGGAGGACAAAGAATGCTGAGTTGCATCCAAAGAACACCATACCAACTGTGAAGCATGGGGGTGGAAACATCATGCTTTGGGGCTGTTTTTCTGCAAAGGGACCAGGACGACTGATCCGTGTAAAGGAAAGAATGAATTGGCCATGTATCGTGAATTGGCCATGTATCGTGAGATTTTGAGTGAAAACCTCCTTCCATCAGCAAGGGCATTGAAGATGAAACGTGGCTGGGTCTTTCAGCATGACAATGATCCCAAACACACCGCCCGGGCAACGAAGGAGTGGCTTCGTAAGAAGCATTTCAAGGTCCTGGAGTGGCCTAGCCAGTCTCCAGATCTCAACCCCATAGAAAATCTTTGGAGGGAGTTGAAAGTCCGTGTTGCCCAGCGACAGCCCAAAAACATCACTGCTCTAGAGGAGATCTGCATGGAGGAATGGGCCAAAATACCAGCAACAGTGTGTGAAAACCTTGTGAAAACTTACAGAAAACGTTTGACCTGTGTCATTGCCAACAAAGGGTATATAACAAAGTATTTTTAAACGTTTGTTATTGACCAAATACTTATTTTCCACCATAATTTGCAAATAAATTCATTAAAAATCCTACAATGTGATTTTCTGGATTTTTTTCTTCTAATTTTGTCTGTCATAGTTGACGTGTACCTATGATGAAAATTACAGGCCTCTCATCTTTTTAAGTGGGAGAACTTGCACAATTGGTGGCTGACTAAATACTTTTTTTCTCCACTGTATCTCACACGCACACTGACATCACACTCTCCTAACCGTGTTGTGTGTCTGTGGTTTCTGTCAGGTTGATCTAGCCACACACTGTGGCTTCATGGGAGGGCTTCAGAGGAACGGCAGCACAGGACACACTGCTCCGTACTACGCTACCTCCACGGTGGAAGTCATCTTGCATGTGTCCACACGCATGCCGTCTAACTCTGACGACTGCCTCACCAAAAAGGTACTATTGCTCCCTCTAGATCAAAGAAGGGAACGTCAGAAAAGCCTGCAAAAGGGAAGACAATCAACAACCAAAACTTGTTTGTTGGTTTGCCATTGACTGAAAAAGCTCCTTAACCTACACTGTGTTAATACCTGTCACTACACTAATAATGTAGCAAGGTCCACGGTCCTTCAAACAACGTAATGTCTGCATACAAAACACAGTGTATACAGAGGGAAATGGCCTCAGAGCCGTGCCCTGTCTATCAGTGTGCTGTCTTAGCTCTTCACTCTGTCCGAAACTGAGGTCAGGTGGTGTGACTCCTGGGTTCTGGCACTGACTAGTAAGCCTGGGAAGGCCTGAGGAGTAGAGAGAGGAGCAGGCGTGTAAGAAGGGGCATGTGTGGTTACGGTAATGACCGTGATTCCCGGACCTGTTTACCCCCCCTTCCCTGGGTGCTGTGACCGGGGCCCAGATTCAGCCATTAGCTGTCCCTGGCAGTGCAGGCGCCGGGCAGATGCCGGCAGGACGTTTTTATCCCATTCCGGCCGTGACGGCGGGAGCGATCGATGGCTGTTTCCCTGGCTGTAGCAGACCAGCAGCAGTTAGCATGGAGAAATGAGCCGCGAGGCCCCTGCCCAAGCAGCCAGTCTTCTCATATGGTGTCCCACGGAGAGAGGAAATTCATCAGGCCATCCTCATATACCTCCCCCCCCCCCCCCCCCCCCCCCCCCACACCATCACCATGTCTGCCCCTCTCCCCCTAAAAAACAGCCCTGCACCAACCCCATACTGAACCTGTGCTCAGCGGCTGCGGAAATTCGTTTGATTTTGGCTAGCTGGTGTGAGGCGCTGGAGGGGCGGCCCAGCTTTGGCTGGAGTGTGCCTTCAGCCCGCTTCGATTCATTTGACTGGGAGCCCCTGTAATTGCACTCCTCTCTTCCCAGAACCCTGCGCTAGCCAAAGGCAAGACAGAAATTGGCAGCTCGGCGGCGCGTGTGGAGGCTAACGGGGGTGGGAGGGAGGGGGATGAAAAAGAGGCTGTATCAGCGTCCAGGCAGGAAGTTTCTTTGTCAATTTACAAATAAAACATTCAGCCTCGCCGACCGCCTGCTCTTAAATGCATACTGTGTGTTGGGCAACGCTTTCGCTGGCCAGATTGTCTATCTGAGGGAAAGAGGGATGAAAGGCCCCCAGTTACACTAAAAAGGAAAACGGGAAAAAACATAAATTCCTCCAATCCAATTGTGGGCTTGAGGGCAGAGTGGTGCAGCGCCCAGCAGCAGCAGCTGGCTGTAGTAATGTGGTTATAGGAGTGAGGTGGGGGTCAGGCCATGTAGGGTCCTAATGTCAGAGCGAGGGGCGCCCGGCCAGCCCCACACTCACAACCAGCACCAGGGCTTAACTGAGCTCTGTGTTTTTAGAAGGGAGCACTTGTGCTGCTGAGAGGCCTGCTGTGTGTTAGTGTGGATGGGAGGTCATTGAGGGCTAATTGGACAAGGGCCTTTGACTGAAGCCACGCACAGGAGTGATTCTAGTGCCACACATAGCTACAGTACTGTGTAGTAGGGACAGGGATGTCATTCTTCCTGCCTTTCTCACATCCTCCTCTATTCATATATCATTGAAATCGACCTACCCACAAACCACTATCCTCCTTTCCCTGACGTTCCATGTTCTCCTGACTCCTAATCACATCCCCTAGTCTTGGAGAGCTTGGTGCAGGAGACGACAGAGACATTAGCATTTACCCAGACAGTCCTGCCTCTTGGTTCAAATCATTCAATGTACACTGAACAAAAATATAAACGCAACATGCAACAATCATTTTACTGAGTTACAGTTCATATAAGGAAATCAGTCAATTGAAATAAATTCATTAGGCCCTAATCTATGGTTTCACATGACTGGGAATACAGATATGCATCTGTTGGTCACAGATACCTTCAAAGAAATGGGCCTCAGGATCTCGTCACGGTATTTCTGTGCATTCAACTTGTCATTGATAAAATGCAATTGTGTTCGTTGTCCATAGCTTATGCCTGTCCTTTGAATAACCCCACCGTCACCATGGGGCACTCTGTTCACAACGTTGACATCAGCAAACGGCTCACCCACAGGAGAGAAATGAGAACATTAAATTATCTGCCAACAGCTCTGGTGGACATTCCTGCAGTCAGCATAACAATTGCACGCTCCCTCAAAACATGAGACATCTGTGGCATTGTGTTGTGTGACAAAACTGCACATTTTAGAGTGGCCTTTTATTGTCCCCAGCACAACGTGCACCTGTGTAATGATCATGATGTTTAATTAGCTTCTTGATATGCCACACCTGCCAGGTGGCTGGATTATCTTGGCAAAGGACAAATACTCACTAACATTTACATTTTAGTCATTTAGCAGACGCTCTTATCCAGAGCGACTTACAGTTAGTGAGTGCATACATTCTTTTTTTTTTTTTCATACTGGCCCCCCGTGGGAATCGAACCCACAACCCTGGCGTTGGAAACGCCATGCTCTACCAACTGAGCTACATCCCTGCCAACAGGGATGTGAACACATTTTTGCACAACATTTGAGAGAAATAAGCTTTTTGTGCGTATGGAAGATGTCTGTAATCTTTTATTTCAGCTCATGAAACATGGGACCAACACTTTACATGTTGTGTTTATATTTTTGTTCAGTGTAATATTCAAATGTTAATTAAAATCCTTATGATTTTTGTGGGCAACCTCGACATGCATATTCAACATTCTTGGTTAATTTGTGACCGTGTCTGTCTGACCTGCACTGGTGCCATTGATCCTTGTACAGATGAGATGAACCAGTGAGCACAATGTTTAATCAGCGAGTTGTGGATTTGTTTAACATTATGCCATTACCATAATTAAGGGCTTATAATAATGTGCTAATTGCATTTTTTTGGGTGGTGAGGGCATGTTTTCTTAATGGCTCATTAGACCCAAGTACATTGGCAGATGTTTTCCTCCTCTCTGTCAGTCAGTGAGGAGGCCCAGCCTTGATGTTGCCACATAATCAGGGACAGGAGTTTTTTTCTAACCTCGTCACCTGATGAGGAAAAACTCTGTGCCCTTACTAGGCCCAGTTTATCCTTATCTAGGTCACGTGGTCATGAACAAAAACAGGTTTCCCCATTATTGATGGGTAAAGGCCAGTGAGGTTGGAATGGCCGCCCTTAACCCATCACTCAATGTCCACGTCAGCCACAATACTGAGGGAAGACTGTTCTTTCACTTCCCCTCTGCCTTGGTTGAAAAAGAGTGCTACATTAACTATCTGCCAATTTCCTGTCATTTGTGTAATTTCTGTCCTGACTTCATTTGTATTTATGAATAGAACATGGAAATTTGATGCAATTTTATGTCTTTGTAAAGTTAATTTCAATGATTGGTTTTAAAATGCTCAATTTGATGTTTTTGTTGTTGTTTGAATTTCCAGTGGAAGTTCAAATTATAAGATGCTTTGTCACAAAACCCAGAGCGGTGGTAATAGCTAACATATATTAAAACCTTTTTATAGGAATAACTATTTTTTTTCTGACCGTTGTGGGCGCCGTAGCGATGTCTAAACCCTGTGATTTGTTCTGGTGCAGCTGCGTCACCTGGGAAACGACGAGGTTCACATAGTGTGGTCGGAGCACAGCAGGGACTACCGCCGCGGCATCATCCCCACTGACTTTGGAGATGTGCTGATCATCGTGTACCCCATGAAGAACCACATGTTCTTCATCCAGATCATGAAGAAACCACAGGTACTGCTGCTACAGATCAGCTGGCTGGCTCAAAACCTAAATGGCTTTTGGGGCTTGTTTTTGCACTTGCTTGATTATTTTCCACTAAATGTATGTGTGTAATGGATACACTATTTTACTTACTGTCTTTTTAGCATTAAACAAATATAATAGGACTCCTTCACCATTTCCCTGCTTCAGCATATCCAACTCTTTGTTTGGAAAAAGGTATCAGCTGTCTGATCTTCACTTAGAGAACCCCTCTCCTTATTCATGGCCCTTGAGACTGCCTTGTTGGTTGAGTGGATTACCGGTTTGTCTGTCTGCCTGCCTATGTGACTCTGAGATGGACGCTCCAATGCCCTCCTCTTCTACTCCAGTCCATTACCCTCACTGTGGGTATGTGCTCTGAGGCAGTCAGTGTCGCTCAGCTAGCTTTCATCTTGGTTCTGAGCCACTGCACACAGAGCTCTGGATCGACTGACTGGCTGGGTCAAAGAGTACCGGTCACAATGTAACCATCAACAGGCTGTGTTATAATATACAGTGCCTTCAGAAAGTATTCACACCCCTTGACTTTTTCCAAAACAGTTTGTGTTACAAAGTAGGATTAACATTTATTGAATTATCCTTTTTTGGCAAAGATTTACACAAAATACTCTAATGTCAAAGTGGAAGAAAAATGTGGACATTTGTAAATATATATATATATTCCAAAACAGTTTGTGTTACAAAGTAGGATTAACATTTATTGAATTATCCTTTTTTGGCAAAGATTTACACAAAATACTCTAATGTCAAAGTGGAAGAAAAATGTGGACATTTGTAAATATATATATATATATGAAATGATCAGTCTATAATTTTAATGGTAGGTTTATTTGAACAGTGAGAGACAGAATAACAACAACAAAATCCAGAAAGATGCATGTCAAAAATGTTATAAATTGATCAATCAGAAAGATTTCTGGCTCCCAGGTGTCTTTTATACAGGTAACGAGCTGAGATTAGGAGCACACTCTTAAAGGGAGTGCTCCTAATCTGAGCTTGTTACCTGTATGAAAGACACCTGTCCTCAGAAGCAATCAATCAGATTCCAAACTCTCCACCATGGCCAAGACCAAAGAGCTCTCCAAGGATGTCGGGGACAAGATTGTAGACCTACACAAGGCTGGAATGGGCTACAAGACCATCGCCAAGCAGCTTGGTGAGAAGGTTCCAACAGTTGGTGCGATTATTCGCAAATGGAAGAAACACAAAATAACTGTAAATCTCCCTCGGCCTGGGGCTCCATGCAAGATCTCACCTCGTGGAGTTGCAATGATCATGAGAACGGTGAGGAATCAGCCCAGAACTACAGCTGGGACCATAGTCACCAAGAAAACAATTGGTAACACACTACGCCGTGAAGGACTGAAATCCTGCAGTGCCCGCAAGGTCCCCCTGCTCAAGAAAGCACATATACATGCCCGTCTGAAGTTTGCCAATGAACATCTGAATGATTCAGAGGAGAACTGGGTGAAAGTGTTGTGGTCAGATGAGATTAAAATGGAGCTCTTTGGCATCAACATTTACATTTACATTTTTAGTCATTTAGCAGACGCTCTTATCCAGAGCGACTTACATTTATTTTTTTATTTTTTTATACTGGCCCCCTGTGGGAATCGAACCCACAACCCTGGCGTTGCAAACGCCATGCTCTATCAACTGAGCTACATCCCTGCCGGCCATTCCCCCCCCTACCCTGGACGACGCTGGGCCAATTGTGCGCCGCCCTTGAGTCTCCCGGTCGCGGCAGGCTGCGACAGAGCCTGGATCAACTCAACTCGCCGTGTTTGGAGGAGGAGGAATGCTGCCTATGACCCCAAGAACACCATCCCCACCGTTAAACATGAAGGTGGAAACATTATGCTTTGGGGGGTTTTCTGCTAATGGGACAGGACAACTTAACCGCATCAAAGGGACGATGGACAGGGCCATGTACCGTCAAATCTTGGGTGAGAACCTCCTTCCCTCAGCCAGGGTTGAAAATGGTTCGTGGATGGGTATTCCAGCATGACAATGACCCAAAACACACAGCCAAGGCAACAAAGGAGTGGCTCAAGAAGAAACACATTAAGGTCCTGGAGTGGCCTAGCCAGTCTCCAGACCTTAATCCCATAGAAAATCTGTGGAGGGAGCTGAAGGTTCGAGTTGCCAAATGTCAGCCTCGTAACCTTAATGACGTGGAGAAGATCTGCAAAGAGGAGTGGGACAAAATCCCTCCTGAGATGTGTGCAAACCTGGTGGCCAACTACAAGAAATGTCTGACCTCTGTGATTGCCAACAAGGGTTTTGCCACCAAGTACTAAGTAATGTTTTGCATAGGGGTCAAATACTTATTTCCCTCATTAAAATGCAAATCAATTCATAACATTTTAGACATGTGTTTTTCTGGATTTTTGTTGTTGTTATTCTGTCTCTCACTGTTCAAATAAACCTACCATTCAAATGATAGACTGATCATTTCTTTGTCAGTGGGCAAACATACAAAATCAGCAGGGGATCAAATACTTTTTTCCCTCATTTTTCATATATATATATATATATATATATACACTGCTCAAAAAAATAAAGGGACACACACTTAAACAACACATCCTAGATCTGAATGAATGAAATAATCTTATTAAATACTTTTTAATATGCTGACAACAAAATCACACAAAAATTATCAGTGGAAATCAAATGTATCAACCCATGGAGGTCTGGATTTGGAGTCACCCTCAAAATTAAAGTGGAAAACCACACTACAGGCTGATCCAACTTTGATGTAATGTCCTTAAAACAAGTCAAAATGAGGCTCAGTAGTGTGTGTGGCCTCCACGTGCCTGTATGACCTCCCTACAACGCCTGGGCATGCTCCTGATGAGGTGGCGGATGGTCTCCTGAGGGATCTCCTCCCAGACCTGGACTAAAGCATCCGCCAACTCCTGGACAGTCTGTGGTGCAACGTGGCGCTGGTGGATGGAGCGAGACATGATGTCCCAGTTGTGCTCAATTGGATTCAGGTCTGGGGAACGGGCGGGCCAGTCCATAGCATCAATGCCTTCCTCTTGCAGGAACTGCTGACACACTCCAGCCACATGAGGTCTAGCATTGTCTTGTATTAGGAGGAACCCAGGGCCAACCGCACCAGCATATGGTCTCACAAGGGGTCTGAGGATCTCATCTCGGTACCTAATGGCAGTCAGGCTACCTCTGGCGAGCACATGGAGGGCTGTGCGGCCCCCCAAAGAAATGCCACCCCACACCATGACTGACCCACCGCCAAACCGGTCATGCTGGAGGATGTTGCAGGCAGCAGAACGTTCTCCACGGCATCTCCAGACTCTGTCACGTCTGTCACATGTGCTCAGTGTGAACCTGCTTTCATCTGTGAAGAGCACAGGGCGCCAGTGGCGAATTTGCCAATCTTGGTGTTCTCTGGCAAATGCCAAACGTCCTGCACGGTGTTGGGCTGTAAGCACAACCCCCACCTGTGGACGTCGGGCCCTCAAACCACCCTCATGGAGTCTGTTTCTGACCGTTTGAGCAGACACATGCACATTTGTGGCCTGCTGGAGGTCATTTTGCAGGGCTCTGGCAGTGCTCATCCTGCTCCTCCTTGCACAAAGGCGGAGGTAGCGGTCCTGCTGCTGGGTTGTTGCCCTCCTACGGCCTCCTCCACGTCTCCTGATGTACTGGCCTATCTCCTGGTAGCGCCTCCATGCTCTGGACACTACGCTGACAGACACAGCAAACCTTCTTGCCACAGCTCGCATTGATGTGCCATCCTGGATGAGCTGCACTACCTGGGCCACTTGTGTGGGTTGTAGACTCCATCTCATGCTACCACTAGAGTGAAAGCACCGCCAGCATTCAAAAGTGACCAAAACATCAGCCAGGAAGCATAGGAACTGAAAAGTGGTCTGTGGTCACCACCTGCAGAACCACTTCTTTATTGGGGGTGTCTTGCTAATTGCCTATAATTTCCACCTGTTGTCTATTCCATTTGCACAACAGCATGTGACATTTATTGTCAATCAGTGTTGCTTCCTAAGTGGACAGTTTGATTTCACAGAAGTGTGATTGACTTGAAGTAATGATGGACTGTCATTTCTCTTTGCTTATTTGAGCTGTTCTTGCCATAATATGGACTTGGTCTTTTACCAAATAGGTCTATCTTCTGTATACCAACCCTACCTTGTCACAACACAACTGATTGGCTCAAACGTGTTAAGAAGGAAAGAAATACCACAAATTAACTTTTAAGAAGGCACACCTGTTAATTGAAATGCATTCCAGGTGACTACCTCATAAAGCTGGTTGAGAGAATGCCAAGAGTGTGCAAAGCTGTCATCAAGGCGAAGGGTGGCTACTTTGAAGAATCTAAAATCTAAAATATATTTTGTTTTGTTTAACACTTCTTTGGTTACTACATAATTCCATATGTGTTTTTTCATAGTTTTGATGTCTTCACTATTATTCTACAATATAGAAAATAGTTTTAAAAATTAAAGAAAAACCCTTGAACGAGTAGGTATGTCCAGACTTTTGACTGGTACTGTGTGTGTGTGTGTGTGTGTGTGTGTGTGTGTGTGTGTGTGTGTGTGTGTGTGTGTGTGTGTGTGCACGTACGTACAGTGGGGAGAACAAGTATTTGATACACTGCCAATTTTGCAGGTTTTCCTACTTACAAAGCATGTAGAGGTCTGTAATTTTTATCATAGGTACACTTCAACTGTGAGAGACGGAATATAAAACAAAAATCCAGAAAATCACATTGTATGATTTTTAAGTAATTAATTTTCATTTTATTGCATGACATAAGTATTTGATACATCAGAAAAGCCGAACTTAATATTTGGTACAGAAACCTTTATTTGCAATTACAGAGATCATACGTTTCCTGTAGGTCTTGACCAGGTTTGCACACACTGCAGCAGGGATTTTGGCCCACTCCTCCATACAGACCTTCTCCAGATCCTTCAGGTTTCGGGGTTGTCGCTGGGCAATACAGACTTTCAGCTCCCTCCAAAGATGTTCTATTGGGTTCATGTCTGGCTAGGCCACTCCAGGACCTTGAGATGCTTCTTACGGAGCCACTCCTTAGTTGCCCTGGCTGTGTGTTTCGGGTCGTTGTCATGCTGGAAGACCCAGCCACGACCCATCTTCAATGCTCTTACTGAGGGAAGGAGGTTGTTGGCCAAGATCTCGCGATACATGGCCCCATCCATCCTCCCCTCAATACGGTGCAGTCGTCCTGTCCCCTTTGCAGAAAAGCATCCCCAAAGAATTATGTTTCCACCTCCATGCTTCACGGTTGGAATGGTATTCTTGGGGTTGTACTCATTCTTCTTCTTCCTCCAAACACGGCGAGTGGAGTTTAGACCAAAAAGCTCTATTTTTGTCTCATCAGACCACATGACCTTCTCCCATTCCTCCTCTGGATCATCCAGATGGTCAATTGCAAACTTCAGACGGGCCTGGACATGCGCTGGCTTGAGCAGGGTGACCTTGCGTGCGCTGCAGGATTTTAATCCATGACGGCGTAGTGTGTTACTAATGGTTTTCTTTGAGACTGTGGTCCCAGCTCTCTTCAGGTCATTGACCAGGTCCTGCCGTGTAGTTCTGGGCTGATCCCTCACCTTCCTCATGATCATTGATGCCCCACGAGGTGAGATCTTGCATGGAGCCCCAGACCGAGGGTGATTGACCGTCATCTTGAACTTCTTCCATTTTCTAATAATTGCGCCAACAGTTGTTGCCTTCTCACCAAGCTGCTTGCCTATTGTCCTGTAGCCCATCCCAGCCTTGTGCAGGTCTACAATTTTATCCCTGATGTCCTTACACAGCTCTCTGGTCTTGGCCATTGTGGAGAGGTTGGAGTCTGTTTGATTGAGTGTGTGGACAGGTGTCTTTTATACAGGTAATGAGTTCAAACAGGTGCAGTTAATACAGGTAATGAGTGGAGAACAGGAGGGCTTAAAGAAAAACGAACAGGTCTGTGATAGCCGGAATTCTTACTGGTTGGTAGGTGATCAAATACTTATGTCATGCAATAAAATGCAAATGAATTACTTAAAAATCATACAATGTGATTTTCTGGATTTTTGTTTTAGATTCTGTCTCTCACAGTTGAAGTGTACCCATGATAAAAATTACAGACCTCTACATGCTTTGTAAGTAGGAAAACCTGCAAAATCGGCAGTGTATCAAATACTTGTTCTCCCCACTGTATGTATGTATATGTGTGTGTATATATATAATATGAAAAATCAAGCACTAATATATCTTGATTTAGATAACTATTCAACCCCCTGAGTCAATACATGTTAGAATCACCTTTGGCAACGATTACAGCTGTAAGTCTCTAAGAGCTTTCCCCACCTGGATTGTGCAACATTTTCCCATTATACTTTCCAACATTCTTCAAGCTCTGTCAAATTGGTTGTTGATCATTGCTAGTCAACCATTTTCAGGTCTTGCCATAGATTTTCAAGCAGATTTAAGTAAAAACTATTACTGGGCCACTCAGGAACATTCACTGTCTTCTTGGTAAGCAACTAAATTGTAGATATTACCTAGTTATTGTCCTGCTGAAAGGTTAACTAATCTCCCAGTTTCTGGTGGAAAGCAGACTGAACCAGGTTTTCCTGTAGGATTTTGCCTGTGCTTAGCTCCATTTTATTTCTTTTTTATCCTGAAAAACTCCTCAATCCTTAATGATTACAAGCATACCCATAACATGATGCAGCCACCGCTATGCTTGAAAATATGGAGAGTGGTACTCAGTAATGTGTTATATGTTTGGGGCAAATCCAATAACACTTTGCATTCAGGACAAAAAGGGAATTGCTTTGCCACATTTTTTTGCAGCATTACTTTAGCGCCTTGTTGCAAACAGGATGCATGTTTTGGAATACTTAAAAAATGCACAGGCTTCCTTCTTTACACTCTGTTAATTAGGTTTGTATTCTGGAGTAACTACAATGTTGTTGATCCATCCTCCGCTTTCTCTTATCACACCCATTAAACTCTGTAACTGTTTTGGCCTCATGGTGAAATTCCAGAGCGGTTTCCTTCCTCTCCAGCAACTGAGTTAGGAAGGACGCCTGTATCTTTGTATTGACTGGGTGTATTGATACACCATCCAAATGGTAATTTATAAATTAAACACGCTCAAAGGGATATTCAATGTCTGCTTTTTTTATTTTTACCTATCTACCAATAGGTGCCCTTCTTTGCGAGGCATTGGAAAACCTCCCTGGTCTTTGTGGTTGAATCTGTATTTTGAAATTCAGTGCTCGACTGAGGGACCTTACAGATCATTGTATGTGTGGGGTACAGAGATGACGTAGTCATTTAAAAATCATGTGACTTGTTAAGCACATTTTTACTTTTGAACTTATTTAGGCTTGCCATATCAAAGGGGTTGAGTACTTATTGACTCAAGACATTTCAGCTTTACATTTTTTATTAATTTATAAAAGTTTCAAAAAACAATTCCACAAGACATTATGGGGTATTGTGTGTAGGCCAGTGATGACAAAATCTCAATTTAATCCATTTTAAATTCAGGCTGAAAAACAACAAAATGTGGAAAAATTCAAGGGGTGTGAATATTTTCTTAAGGCACTGTATACTTAGATTGGTAGACTCTAATATTTGTACTAAATGTGACCAAAAAAACCAATAGGATGTCTGTCACTGGGACTTTTCCTCATATGTCAGATCTATAAGAAAACCTCACACAATACCTCCAGTCTCTTCTAAAGAGGGGAAAAGAGACTTGTCGGCCAAACGAGGGGCTTTGGTGTGTTGGAGCAAAAGATGGGGCCAGAATGCATGGCAGCTTTTTCATTCCACTGACCTGCCAGCAGGACTCTGCCAACCTGGTGATGATGCCCACTGCCCATAGCCCTCTGTCTGGCCATCCACCTAGGCCTCCTCCCAATATCCACACAGACTGACAGAAAGACATCACCAACAACCACCCAGTCTGCAGCCCAAACCTCCACCATAGAATCCTAAGGCCCCCATTACTCAGACCCTTTCTCGTTCTTATTCTATGGTGTTTTAGAGCTTCATTGTCCTGAGTTGACCTCTAGAAATTAGGCAAAAAAAAATTTTTTTACACCAGTAGAGATTGAATGGGCTAGCTGTCAGTTTGAAGTGTTCTCTAATTATTGAAGTGGATGGACTGTCTGTATAATGAGCTATGCCATGTCGAGTAGACAGCAGGACTTATGGAGAGGCTCTGACACTCACGTCACATTCCAGGTCAACGATCATTCAACTCACCAGATTTAAGATCTCCCCAAAACGCATGAACAGACGCATGTGTCACGCGCACACACACACGCTGCTCTCAAACACAGATAGCTCCCACTGTATTTGTTCAATCAAAGTATTTTCTCCAGTGTTGATTTGCATTAGATGTGTGTGTGATTGCTATGCTAAATAAGAACAAAACTTAGTTCTAAATCACTCAAACCTGAATCTAACCCTGTGCCAATATTAGATGTTGGGCTGGGAATTGCCAGGGACCTTTCGACAAAGAATCCTCCATTTGCAGCAATTACAGCATTGCAGACCTTTGGCATTCTAGTTGTCAATTTGTTGAGGTAATCTGAAGATATTTCACCACATGCTTCCTGAAGTACCTCCCACAAGTTGGATTGGCTTGATGGGCACTTCTTACGTACCATACGGTCAAGCTGCTCCCACAACAGCTCAATAGGGTTGAGATTCGGTGACTGTGCTGGCCGCTCCATTATAGACAGAATACCAGCTGACTGCTTCTTCCCTAAATAGTTATTGCATAGTTTGGAGCTGTGCTTTGGGTCATTGTCCTGTTGTAGGAGGAAATTGGCTCCAATCAAGCGCCGTCCACAGGGTATGGTGTTGCAAAATGGAGTGATAGCCTTCCTTCTTCAAGATCCCTTTTACCATGTACAAATCTCCCACTTTACCACCACCAAAGCACCCCCAGACCATCACATTGCCTCCACCATGCTTGACAGATGGCATTAAGCACTCCTCCAACATCTTTTCATTTGGTCTGCGTCTCACATATGTTCTTCTTTGTGATCCGAACACCTCAAACTTCGATTCGTCTGTCCATAACACTTTTATCCAATCTTCCTCTGTCCAGTGTCTGTGTTCTTTTGCCCATCTTAATCTTTTATTTTTATTGGCCAGTCTGAGATATAGCTTTTTCTTTGCAACTCTGCCTAGAAGGTCAGCATCCCGGAGTCGCCTCTTCACTGTTGACGTTGAGACTGGTGTTTTGCGGGTACTATTTAATGAAGCTGCCAGTTGAGGACCTGTGAGGCGCCTGTTTCTCAAACTAGACACTCTCTAATGTATTTGTCCTCTTGCTCAGTTGTGCACCGGGGCCTCCCACTCCTCTTTCTATTCTGGTTAGAGCCAGTTACACAACGTTGTACGAGATCTTCAGTTTCTTGGCAATTTCTCGCATGGAATACCCTTCATTTCTCAGAACAAGAATAGACTGACAAGAATAGACTGACAATAGACTGAACCATGAATTCTGCTCTGTATCAGAGAATTCTACAGGAGAATGTCAGACCATCCGTCTGTGAGCTGAAGCTGAAGCGCATCTGGGTCATGCAGCAAGACAATGATCCAAAACACACAATCAAGTCTACATGAAAATTGCTAAAAAGCAACAAATTGGAAGTTTTGGAATGGCCTAATCAAAGTCCAGACCTAATCCCAATTGAGATGTTGTGGCAGGACTTGAAACGAGCAGTTCATGCTTGAAAACCCACACGTCACTGAGTTAAAGCAGTTCTGCATGGAAGAGTGGGCCAAAATTCCTCCACAGCGACGTGAGGGACTGATCAACAACTACAGGAAGCATTTGGTTGGAGTCATTGCAGCTAAAGGTGGCACAACCAGTTATTGAGTGTAAGGGGGCAATTACTTTTTCACACAGGGGAATTGGGTGTTGCATAACTTTGTTTATGAAATAAATATGTAATTGTTGTGTTATTTGTTCACTTATGTTCCCTTTATCTAATATTAGGTTTTGGTTGAAGATTTGATAACATTCAGTATCACAAATATGCAAAAGTAGAGAAAATTAGAAAGGGGGCAAATACTTTTTCATGGCACTGTATATATATATGTATATGTATGTGCGGCCCCGTGTAGCTCAGTTGGTAGAGCATGGCGTTTGTGACGCCAGGGTTGTGGGTTCGATTCCCACGGGGGGCCAGTATGAAAAATGTATGCACTCACTAACTGTAAGTCGCTCTGGATAAGAGCGTCTGCTAAATGACTAAAATGTAAATGTAAAATATGTGTAAAGATATATGTGTAAAGATATATGTGTGTGTATATATATATATATATATATATATATATATATATATATATATATATATGTATGTGTGTATATATGTGTAAAGATATATGTGTGTGTGTGTGTGTATGTATGTATGTATGTATGTATGTATGTATGTATGTATGTATGTATGTGTGTGTGTGTGTGTGTGTGTGTGTGTGTGTGTGTGTGTGTGTGTGTGTGTGTGTGTGTGTGTGTGTGTGTGTATATATGTATATATATATATATATATATATATATATATATATATATATATACACACACACACACACACACCAGTCAAAAGTTTGGACAGACCTACTCATTCCAGGGTTTTTCTTAATTTTTTACTAGTTTCTACATTGTAGAATAATAGTGTAGACATCAAAACTATGAAATATGACATATGGAATCATGTAGTAACCAAAAATGTGTTTAACAAATCAAAGTATATTTGAGATTCTTCAAAGTAGCCACTCTTTGCCTTGATGACAGCTTTTCACACGCTTGGCATTCTTTGCTTCAACAAAGTACTGAGTAAAGGGTCTGAATAATTATCTAAATGTGATATTTCAGTTTTTTATTTTTAATACATGTTTTTGCTTTGTCATTATGGGGTATTGTATGATGATTGATCAGGGAGAAAAAACTATTTCATCCGTTTTAGATTAAGGCTGTAACGTAACAAAATGTTGAAAATGTCAAGGGGTCTGAATACTTTCCGAATACACTTATATGATAGATATTCTTTTATTTTTATTCTAATCGATACTTGGAGTTAAATAATCAATATAATAGCTTCCAAAATAATATTGCGATATGTAACTGTATAGATTTGTTCCCCTATCACTAATTAGATGTCTCATGCGTTTCAAATCTCACTCATTTCAAATGATTGCATGACTTCAATAGGGCTGTGATGGTCAGGGAATTTTGAAGGACGGTTATTGGTCAGCCAAATGACCGTGGTCACAGTTAGGAGCGTTTGAATAGCAGTTTTATTTTTACTACGCACATTTTCTCATGCCCTTCGCTCCTGACTGCATGTAGGGGGGCGTTGCCTAGGCAACCAGCCTGGTTTGCTACAACACCTTGCTTGTTTCAGCACGGCGCAACAAAGTTTCATCACGTTGTAACGAGTCCATGCAACCGCGAAAACAGACTCAACCGCACGAATGCCCGGCCGTCCTGTCTTCAGTCGGCTGTTCGTTCCAAAAAAAAAGAATAATTCAATGGTTATGACAGTTATTTAAGATGGTAACTTTCACCCTTTCTCTCTCCTTCCCCTTGTAGGTCCCCTTCTTTGGGCCTCTGTTCAACGGCGCCATCGTCACAGGAACGCTGCTGCCCAGCCTGGTGCGTGCCACCTGCATCAACGCCAGCAGAGCTGTCAAGTCCCAGCTGACGCTCTACCAGAGCTTGTATCCTTTGTGTGAACTCTTTTTCTCTGTCTCCCCAACCCTTCTTACAGCCCTGTCTGCCTCCACAAGGTAAACAACTGACCACAGAGCTTCAGCAGGTAGGCCGTGCAAGTTTTTCCAGGGAAGGTTATTTTCTATGTATACTTTGTTTTTGCCTGGGCGGATTAACATGTGGCGCGTGTTGGGTGATCTGCATGGTTGAGTGCTGACACTGATCTTGATGCGCTGGCTGATTTGCAAACAGCGATTAACAACGCACCGGGTTGTGGTGTTGCGGTGTGTTGCTCAGAACGCAGTAACATGTGAGGACGCATGTGTCTGTCTGGGTCTGTAATGGGGATCTTGTGTAACCTCTGTGTCATCTTGTATCATGCACTGGGTTTAGACAACAGCAGCAGAGACATGACTGTCATTAACCCCTCCTCCCCTCCATCCCTGTAACAGCCTGCCTGTCGTTAAGGTCCTGATTTCCAGCTGTACATGACAGTTGGTTTAAGACGAGCGTAATCAGTGATGGAGATTAATTTGCATGTGAATAAGTTGAGGACTGAAAGAGGGGAGGGAGGTTTTTTTGGAGAGGCCCCCAGTGGGAGAAATCTGATCTCCCACAAAGCCTTGCTGCTCCGCCTTTCCCCGGACAGGGACAGGCTGTACAGAGTGGCCTCGCCGGGACCACAGTAGCTCTCTGCTGGTCGTCATGGTAACACCCAACCTCCAGCTTTTTAGGTTGGACCCAAGTTGTGCAGCCCTCTCAAATATTTTTGGGGGCATCGCGGTAAAGCTCATTGGTTTGTGTTTTGTAAGGAAAGTGGGCAAGGGGGATCGATAATGTCAGTAGCCTATAGTATGTTTTTAAGGTAATAATGTGCACTAAACTTTGGCTACAGGTGTATGTGGCTGTACATGCTGTATGTTTGATGGACAGTTGAAGTCGGAAGTTTACATACACCTTAGCCAAATACATTTAAACTCAGTTTTTCACAATTCCTGACATTTAATCCTAGGAAAAATGATCTGTCTTAGGTCAGTTAGGATCACCACTTTATTTTAAGAATGTGACATGTCAGAATAATAGTAGAGAGAATGATTTATTTCAGCTTTTATTTCTTTCATCACATTCCCAGTGGGTCAGAAGTTTACATACACTCAATTAGGTATTTGGTAGCGTTGCCTTTAAAATGTTTAAATTGGGTCAAACGTTTCGGGTAGCCTTCCACAAGCTTCCCACAATAAGTTGGGTGAATTTTGGCCCATTCCTCCTGACAGAGCTGGTTTAACTGAGTCAGGTTTGTAAGCTTCCTTGCTCGCACACGCTTTTTCAGTAATGCCCACAAATGTTCTATAGGATTGAGGTCAGGGCTTTGTGATGGCCACTCCAATACCTTGACTTTGTTGTCCTTAAGCCATTTTGCCACAACTTTGGAAGTATGCTTGGGGTCGTTGTCCATTTGGAAGACACATTTGCGACCAAGATTGAACTTCCTGACTGATGTCTTGAGATGTTGCTTTAATATTTACATTTACATTTTAGTCATTTAGCAGACGCTCTTATCCAGAGCGACTTACAGTTAGTGAGTGCATACATTTTTTTTTCATACTGGTCCCCTGTGGGAAACGAACCCACAACCCTGCTGTTGCAAACACCATGCTCTACCAACTGAGCTACACGGAACTATATATCCACATAGTTTTCCTTCCTCATGATGCCATCTATTTTGTGAAGTGCACCAGACCCTCCTGCAGCAAGCACCCCCACAGCATGATGCTGCCACCCCCGTGCTTCACGGTTGGGATGGTGTTCTTCGGCTTGCAAGCAATCCCCTTTTTCCTCCAAACGTAACAATGGTCATTATGGCCAAACAGTTCTATTTTTGTTTCATCAGACCAGAGGACATTTCATCAAGAAGTACGATTTTTGTCCCCATGTGCAGTTGCAAACTGTAGTCTGGCTTTTTTATGGAGGTTTTGGAGCAGTGGCTTCTTCCTTGCTGAGCGGCCTTTCAGGTTATGTTGATATAGGACTCGTTTTACTGTGGATATAGATACTTTTGTATCTGTTTCCTCCAGCGTCTTCACAGGGTCCTTTGCTGTTGTTCTGGGATTGATTTGCTCTTTTCGCACCAAAGTACGTTCATCTCTAGGAGACAGAACGCGTCTCCTTCCTGAGCGGTATGATGGCTGCGTGGTCCCATGGTGTTTATACTTGTGTGCTATTGTTTGTACAGATGAACGTGGTACCTTCAGGCGTTTGGAAATTGCTCCCAAGGATGAACCAGACTTGTGGAGGTCTACGATTTTCATTTCTGAGGTCATGGCTGATTTCTTTTGATTTTCCCATGATGTCAAGCAAAGAGGCTCTGAGTTTGAAGGTAGGCCTTGAAATACATCCACAGGTACACTTCCAATTAACTCAAATTATGTCAATTAGCCTATCAGAAGCTTCTAAAGCCATGACATCATTTTCTGGAATTTTGCTGTTTAAAGGCACAGTCAATTTAGTGTATGTAGACTTCTGACCCACTGGAATTGTGATACAGTGAATTATAAGTGAAATAATCTGTGTGTAAACAATTGTTGGAAAAATTACTTGTGTCATGCACAATGTAGATGTCCTAACAGACTTGCCAAAATTATAGTTTGTTAACAAGACATTTGTGGAGTGGTGGAAAAACAAGTTTTAATGACTTCAACCTAAATGTATGTAAACCTCCGACTTCAACTGTATGTGTACTTGCATTTGTATGTGCAATGCACACGGGTGTCCCCCCCCATCCCACCCACCCATCAGCGAGCCTCATATCAGCCCCTCTCAGGGTCCCTGCGGGCGTCAGTGAGACAGCAGAGAGACAGATGTCTGTAACCCAAAGCCAAGTGAATTACTCCAGTGTGAGATAGACTGAGCTGCCAGCGGGGCCTAGCTGCCACAGGCCTGCCTGCACTGGGAGCCAAGGGGGAAGGGAGCCAGCACTGGGCCGGCCCAGACCAGGCCTACCTGGCATTCCTTAGCAGGAAAAGAGCAGCACGACAGCCTGATCTATGAGATGAGATGAGCGCTGGCTGGGCTGGAGTGTTGGCAGTGTGAAGCAGCCAGCCAGGCTGAGGCCCCACATACTGCAGATCTGGATGATGAGCTGACAAATGGGTGCTCCCAGCCAATGGATGCTGGCAATGCCAGCACTGGTGTCTTATGTGTGGGCCATTTTTCTGGATGGCTGGAGGATTACGTTTAAACAAAGAATGAGTCATGAGTCACGGAGGTGATGAGACTATTTTTTATCAAGATAGGGTGCACACACAAACACACACAAACTATTTTGTAATTCAGAAAGATGGGTCAGGATTTAAGAAAAAAAATCCTACCAGTAAATAAAGTTCAGACTATTTTTGGAAGAATGTTTTAAGATACAATTTAGATTGCTATTTGAGGTTTATTACCTCAACAAAGAGAAGGAGTACCAAAACTAATGATAAATCTAGACTTGACCCACAGGCATGAACCATTCCTCCTCCTGCGGATTGGTTGCTGTATTGTACCAGTTCTCCATGTAAGCTCCCTTCTGTTCCTCATCTCATCTGCCTCTCATCTTCTACAAAATGTAGTTATTTTATTTTGGGTTGGAACAATGACCTTGTCTCTTTTCAGAGCGGGCTGTTTTTGTAGCAGAGATTAAATCCCTATCCAGCGTTTCCCCTCACAATGCCCCAGCGCTCCCCAATCTGCTGTCTGTAGCCAGGCCGCTCTCCAAGGTAATTCGTTTAATGTTTCTACAAAGAAGAACCACATGACCTCAGTGCGTCCACATAAAGGCAGGCCTGGCGCTGTGGTGCTCTCCTCTATGGCGCTCTGTGGTGTCCTCTCTCCCGCTCCCTCCGCCACAGAACTGAAGAGGTCTCCAGCAGGCAGGCGCTCTGCTGCACCATCACTCCGGCTAATTGGATTTGATATTGAAATATGACCACCAGCCACATTGCCGGAGAACACACACACACCAATCCTCCCTTCCGCTACAATCCACTGTTTCCTTTTTGCCTCTACACCATGGTACATGGAGTAGTTTGTGTGTGAGTGATTGTTAGTGTGTAGGTGTATTTGTGACACATGGTCAGTGTTTAGATATCTAAATCTATGGGTTTAGGTGTGTCATTCCCCTCCTGGTCTGTACAGCATTCTGCTCTATTCAGTGACAACACAGTGATGTTATTTTGGAGCCCTCCCCACTGTTGGATGTGAAAGAGACAGTCCTGATGTGAAAGAGACAGTCCTGACCCCACAGACATTATATTACAAGGCCGTCAGAAATCACACAAACTGTGTCATCTATTATTCATCTGGCCCTATTGGAAGAGGCAGCTGCCTTGGCTGTGTGAATCCTAATAATCACCCTGTATGGACACTGAGCAGCGGGCTGGCTGGCTGCAGTCTACTCCATTGCCAGAGGGAATGCACACTCACTGTGTGTGGTGAGGACATGACATGAGGGAGGAGAATACTCTTGACTGACAACTTCCCACTATATAAGTAGCACTCCATATATCAAGAGAATTGGATATGTGAACTTCCCTGACATCCAATGTGTCATTCATTCCCAACCATGTGGTCCTCTGTAGTTCAGTTGGTAGAGCATGGCACTTGCAACGTCAGGGTAGTGGGTCGCTTTGGATAAAAGTGTCTGCTAAATGGCATATTTATTATATAGATTATGATATGGCTGTAGCAGAGGTGTCTGAGTGGACTTCCTCTGCTTCCACATAGCCTGTTGGGTTTCTGACTGGAGACTTTATCTTTATATAAGTGTTATTCTCTCTCATAAACAAGCACTAGGGTTTGATGGGCCGTTCACTCCTAGTAAATGTGTGTGGTGTGGTGTTTAGGTGGCAGGAGCCTCTAATAGAATGAAACGCAGCTTCCCCGCTGGACAGAATCAATAGCTTTAGCGCGGTGGCCTTACTACCTTCCCTAAGACACACACATACACAGAGAGATCCATCTCCAGGCAGCAATCAATAGCCAGAATCTGTTCCTGCACATGGCCTGTCATGTGAGCCAGGCTTTTAGGTGGCATTGTGGGGAACATGCAGTGTAGAAGCAGGGAGAGGGAGAGGTTTCATCTTCTCAGTGAAACACACAGAGCCCAGTTTAACCTAGGGCTGCTACCAACCTCAGAGCCCTGCCTCAAATAGCCAACCATCTACCAGCTCTGTAGCTCAGCCTTTACACACTCATGAACACTTAATATATGTGGGACTCTTGCGATTTGATATTGGCCTACTGCTTTGTGTAGTGAATTTGTCTAGTGTTTTTCTTGTCCCCGGTGGCCATGCATGTTTAATTAGGGTTGTGGTAGTATTGAGTGTTGTATTCTCTCTACCTTCTGAATAAGGCTTTGTTTCTCTCTCTCATTGTCCCTACATGGATAACAATGTGTTCTTTAGTACAAGAAGACTCTTTACCTAGTCAAGAGGAAAGCATATTTTTGAGTCTTTGAAAGGAGGTTATGAATGGGAGATGCCATGTTAGTGTACTGTAGCTGAACATGTATTATTTAGCATTGCTGATAGGCTGTTATTTGCCAGCTAGTGTGCCATAACACTCACCAGTCTCCTGCAGCCCATGAACTGAGTGCTTGGCTTGGCACAGTGAGAAGGGTGAGCTGAGCCAACTTCCCTCTTTCATAAGTCTCTTGTGAGAAGTGATGTGTACAGCCCTAACTCTCCTCTTTGTAAATTTACATTTACATTTTAGTCATTTAGCAGACGCTCTTATCCAGAGCGACTTACAGTTAGTGAGTGCATACATTATTTGTTGACATTTTTCATACTGGCCCCCCGTGGGAATCGAACCCACAACCCTGGCGTTGCAAACGCCATGCTGTACCAACTGAGCTACATCCCTGCCGGCCATTCCTTACCCTGGACGACGCTTGGCCAATTGTGCACCGCCCCATGGATTCGAACCAGGATCTCTAGTGGCACAGCTAGCACTGTGATGCAGTGCCTTAGACCACTGCGCCACTCGGGAGTTTGTCTTTGAATTAGAGGCTCTGTGACATTGTGTGGAAGAGCAACCTGCTTCCATTAGGTTAGGGTCTTGTTCTGTGTCCAGTCCAGCTCTGTCACAGTCCTGTCCAGCTCTTGTCACAGTCCAGCTCTAAGCTCTGTCACAGTCCAGCTCTCAGGGACGTCCATTCCCAATGACCACCCTGACCCATCAGGACCTCAGAAGTCTGTGGCAGGGTGGATTGCTAGACAGGGTGTAGGTAGGTGGGGTTGTCAGAGGCAGTTGGGTTGGAGACTGTTGTTGGGTGAAGCAGAGCTTGGGTGGAGTTAGGGTTTGAGTTTGGTGGGGGCCGGGGAGTGGATGAAAGGGGGGCTATGGTTGGGGTTTATGACATTTTGGGAAGGAGGGAGTTTCCTCTACTGAATGTTTTAACCTAATCCCATTATCAGTGTAGCGCACTGCCTTCCCCTCAACCCCTCCACTCCTCCGCCCTCAACCCGCCCCCACACCTCTTCAGCTGACCAGCTGTTCCTGGGGCTCACGACAATGTCTGATGTGTTCACATCACTGAGTCCCCCCACTCAACCCACACACCACCACCACTCCATGGCCGCTCCACTCGGAGCAGCAGACAGCTCTGCCGCTGGGGCCTAGAAGGGCCTGAGGGGGGACAAGGGGAAAAGGAGGGGGACACGCGAAGGCCTGTCAAACCCAGCCTTGACTCAGGAGGCAGCCTGGCCGGATGGCATATGGCGTCTAGCTTCATACAACATGCAAAAGTATTCCCCCCCCACCCCCCTGCTGCTAATGCAGAATGACTCACAGCATTATATTTGTTTCCCTCCCTCCTCCCCACCCTGCCTCTAACAAAAGGCGTCCCCCACACACCCTCACAGTGAAAGCCCTGGGGGCCGGTGGCTGAGCAGAGCAGGGCCACTCTTAAACACAGGTAGAGCAGGCATGGAAACAGACGGCTGATGGCCGGGGCTGAGGGGCTTGATGACAGCACAGGGCCCTGAAAGACCATAAAGACACTGTGTTTGTGTTAGCCGCTGTTTGTCCACTGATCCTGGGGATGAGAGGAACACTGAGAGAGATGATGAGGAGTTACTGGGGTTTTGTCAGAAGCATTGAAGTGATATTTCTTTGTTGTGTTTTCTTTTTTATATTTTTGTTGTGGTATGGCTAGGTTTTACTAAGGTTGTTAAACTGTCAATAGTCTCCAAATGGGAGAAGGTATCCTATGATTTTATCTGATCGTTGTCCACGCTTTACTTAATTGTGTGCCATTCAACATTGTGACTGTGTTACTCAAGGTAATATTAAATGGGTATTTTGAAAGTTGTTAGTTTAAAAAAGATTTGCCATCCACAGTTGCAGAACAGACCAGTTTCTGTTTTCAATACATGTGCCACCCCATCACTAAATATTTCAAATCCTGGGATTGTACACACATTACAGCACAGCATGTTACTGAAAGAATGTCATGCTCCGTGTATCTGTAAACTTGAACGCCCCTCCCCTTCCTGCTCCGTCTGTTATGCATTCATGCCTGACATCTGTCTGTTTGTAAGAGTGCAGTCAAAGGCTGAGAGGTTGCCAGGTCTGCGTGGGATCCCCCTCTCTCTCCCACCATCCAGCCAGCCCCGGTAGGGAGGTGTCGGGTAGCGTTACTGGGATCAGACTGGCTGTATCATTATGAACCTGTCAGGGGTGAAGCCACATAGGTGTTTGGTAGCCACTAGACACCCCTAGTTCTAATAACTGTGAAAGCTGTCTCTATCACCAGTCATCAAACCCTTGGCCATTCTTCCATGGCTTGTTGTTATGGAGATTATTTTTATTTGTGGAGGAAAAACATACTTTGAAGGAATCCCTGGTTGAAAAGTATTTCTCTGAGAAGATTGGTGTTGATGGATTCTTCATGCTACGTGTTTTGACTTTGTAAGCAGTCATAACTGTGGACAGCAGTGGTACTACTCTGTGCACTGTGCGTGCATTCCACTGTTTTACTCTGTGAATTGTCAAGCCCCAGTGTTAGGGTGCATCAATACTTTTTGTCCTTGTATATGGAAGACCATCCGTTCTGCCTATCACAGACTCCCTAACTGACTCCAGTGCCGGTACCGCAGTACATTTCATTTAAGAAGACGTGTTAATAGGGATTTATGTGTGTGTGGTTCTACGGTGGGTGTAAAACCTGTCTGTCTGCTTTAAGTGATTAGCATCCAACTAGCCATTCCATCTGTTCCCCTAGCCCTGTTTAATTAATGAACTTTCTTTCTCCTCCCAGCCAGCCAAACACCACTAAAGGAAAGCTGTTAGCCCTCTCAGGTTATCCAAATGGATGCTTGTTCTTGTTTCCCCTACAATGGCTGCATTGTCAATGATTAGTTCGGTTTTGTTTCCCCTCTTTTGTCTCTGGGTTCTTGAGGGAGGGTTAATGAGCTTCCCTGGGAAGCCTCCGCACATTGAATTTATAAATAAATAGGAATCATTTTAGTTGTTTTGGTTTTTTGGCAGAAAAACTAAACCGTGCAGGTGTGCACCTCCGTGTGTGGCATATGTGTGTCTGTGTGGGTATTTATGAATAGGATGGGGAAGGCCTTGACGATGGAAGGGTCCTGGGAGTTTTCTGGTGTTGCTAGTCCATTATTCCTCATCAGAAGCAGAGGTCCTGGAGCACTCAAACACTGGGCTCGCTTCCCCTCCCTTCTCCAGTCTCCCTTCTCCTTAGGCCTGACATCTTGTAGAAGATGGAGGAAAGAATATATGTAAAAACCCCTCTCTCCTTCTCTTCCTCGTCTCTCTCCGCTCTCCTTCTATCTCTCTCGTTCCAACGAGGCACTGGACAGCCTTTGTCCACATAAAGCTGGGTTCTTTGTGTGCGCGGCCCTTTTTTATCCTCTTGCTAATCGCCGTGGTCGTGTGCCCGTGTTTTAGCCCATATTTCACGCTCCACTCTCCTTTGTCTGACGCCTGCCCTGATAAGGATCCCAGTTCTAGGGCCGCTCTGATATTGAAATCCTCCAGCGTCGCGGAGAGAGCCTTCAATCATCCATTGTCTGCGCTCCAGTGATTACCATTCAATCTCTGTGTCCCTCGTCATCACCGGCCGGAGCACTGAGACTGTCCCCTGAAAAGACCAGGACTCTCTCTCCTCGCTCTCTCTCTTCTGTCACATTCAAGCATATCCACAGATATTTCTGTCATTGTCTCGAGACGTCCCGTGTTCAATGCTACCGGGAAATGTCAGCAAAATGTCACTCATCACATACCCCAGGATTCTCTCAGTCTCTGTGATGTGGCCCTGGGTTAGGGACTTCTTTTGTCAAGAAACCTTTGACCTTGCTCTGTTTTGTCCTAAAATTGGCATTAGGCTAGCTTTTCAATTTTATCATCATGAGACTAGAACCACTGTTTGTCTGAAGATTTTCTTCACATTGCTTTTAATTTCACAGCCTTAATTGGTTATTTTATAGAGGAATTAGTTGATTATGTATAGGTTGTCTCTTTAAACAGTTCAAGGCAGCACCTATTCCTCTCCTGGCCCATCTCCATTGTTTCCCCGTGGAGGATGTCCTTGTCCTGAGCATTTGCATTTTTGCATTAAGTGGAATTTTCCACATAGAGAGACAAGCAAAACATTAAAGTGTGTATAGTGCATTTTCCGCCCCTTTTTCCAGAAAGCGCCCTTTGATGTGGTAATTCAGAGAGTATGTGTACGTTGTCAAGTGGCAGCCATTGATTTGGCCACAGAGCAACATACTGTACAGTAGGCATTTCTGTGATTGGCATTGTCATTTGGTGGCCTGCATGTATTTGCTGTGCTGCTGTTGTTGCTCTGGACAAAGAGTAGGCTTGGTTGATTATCTGGTAATCAGCTCTAGATTTATAACCCTCTTAGTAGTCTCTTTCTAAACCTTTTTAGACTTAGACTTTTGACTCACTGTCGTTGTAGATGTTCCTCGCTAGGTTTTTCCATTTGAAATGTTGACAGAAAACCTTGTTTACCAGACCTGCACTCCTCCAAAAGGTTTTGTCAGGAAAACAAAGGCCCTGAGCCATTAGTTATGTATAGCCACTAATTACTATTGATGAGATTCTAGCAGTTTGGGCTACAAATCTATATGTATTGTCATTGTAATGAGTGTTATTTACTCTCAGATCTCCAGGCCAGGGGGATATAGATGGAATGGCCTTTGTGGAGGCAGATATGGCCCTGGCTGCTATAGTCTACACCCACTTGTTTTGTATCTGCCGACTTTGACCAAATCCCGTTTCCCTCCCCCTACTTTGTCGCGGCCATCTGCAGAGATGTATAGCACTTCCCAGCTCTTCCATCTGTTTTTGTGCATCCATGAAAAGGCCCATTATAATCCCTCGCTGTATGTGGACGCACCGCGAGTTTCTAAACAGGATGGGCCACCGCGAAACATCAGCCAGGAATCCTAGAGGCCTCAGTCCATCGGTTAATTATTTGAGCTCCCTCTTAGAGATCTTCATTTTAACGGGTTTTCTAAACAACATTGTCTCCGTACATCCCCATAAACAGACAGCCAGTCTGAAATGGGGCTGAGGCTGCTGAATGGGCTCCATGCAGCCACGCTAGGCTAAGACAGGCTCCTGATTAACTCTTGAGTGACTAGCTAATGTCATTGAAGTAGGACCACCTGGCGATGAGACTGTACAGTCAGCTGCCAGTGGAGGGCCAGAATGGGTAGGACCAGGTGTTAGGCCTCCTAATTGTTGCCATGTAATAGCCCGCTTGACTGCACAGTGTGGCCCCAGGGCTAGGATTAGAAAAGGCTGCTGCCAACACAGAAGACATCAGTTGTCTTTCTGCCCAGTTTTTTCATACCTCTTTCTTACCATCCCACCCCCACTAATCATTCCAGGTAGTAGGGAGGCTCCCCATCCTTCCCCCACCTCATTGACTCCAGGCCTACTCCACAACCGGCTGTGCTTTCAGGCCTGAGGAGGGGCGGTGGTGGGTTTGAGGAAGGCTGGAGAGAAAGACAATGAAAGAAAAGAGGGGGAAGAAAGAAAAAGAAGAAAGGGGCGTCAGACAGAGCTGGGAGTTTTCCTGGCCAGGAGGTGGTAATCCCAGGTGAACAGCCGTGTCCGTACGGGAGCTTTGGGAACTCCATCTGCGCCTCCTAACCCTTCACACTGTAGAATAGAGGAGGGCCCCTTCGTTCTGCCATTCCCTATGCACCTCCCACGTGTGTCACATACATTTATCATACTCTTCCTGTCCTCCAAACTGACGCCCGCTCATAGCAGTATTATTACCCTAATCTTCAAGGAGAACAACGTGGAAATGATCCTGAGAGGAAAAATTGGCCAGCGATACGGTCTGCTACTGGTTGTCATTTTTTGATAAGAGCCCCAACCTCATTATGATTATAATTGCATTGATTGAAATATGGCTGTAATGCAGAGATGAGGGCAAATGAATTCACTTTTGTCCCTGTAACTAACCTTGGCTCTCCAACGCATTCATAACGGAATGATAACTGTGATCATCTGTAACCCTGTGCTAATCATTAGCATTCCCGTTAAATGCCTGCCGTTTTGCATAAGGTTAGAGAGCTCTATTTACCCACTGAACCTTTCACTGCGAGGCTAATGTAGGGGCGGGAGAATGCACTCTGGAGGATGAATCCAAACACGGATCGGAAGCAGACGGCGACTCCACATGTTAACGCATAGCAATCATTTCCCCGCACATTAAAATTTCAGAGTCCTCATCCGTGTGGTAAATATTTCATTAGCTTTCTGTGGAACACTGTGTTATCGTTGGGTTAAACCAAAACTCTTTGGCATAACACAGTGTTGTATGTGGCCCCGCAGGCTATTAGGACATTAGAATCTCTATGGAGTGGGACTAATGTGTCAAACGGGCTAAAGACTGTCTTTCTCTGCTCTTTTGTTGGTTTGGGATTGAAGCAGGATACAGGTGGTACGACTCACATGTTGAATATATGTCTGAAAATAGCCATTTTGGTCCACGGTTTCAAATTGTATGTGCATATCATGGACACGCATTGTTCAAAGTCATGTCCATCCACCCTCACACTGCACATACATATTCACCTCCCCTGCTCTGTTGAGGACCACAATTATTACAGCCAAACAAAGTGCTCAGGCCACAGAAGCTTTCATCCAAACCTGATTACCTCAGCTCAGATTGGACCACCAAGGACATCTTCAAAGGTTTCTCTGACCACCCACTTCTAGTCTCGATCTCCTTGAGCATGTCAGTCAGGCAGTCTTTTATAGCTCATCTTATTAGAACTTTCTGTTAATGTGATAGAGCCCTGTGACTGGCTGCTTTTAATCTCTCTGGGTTTGATTAATCATGTCTCCATTGTGCTCCACATCTAAGGCTGATACGTTAGTGGCTCTGATCAATAGACGGCCCTTTGAAAAGGAGATTTGTTACACATCGGAATACTCATCTGAATACACAACCAGCCTGCCCTTTGATGGCAAACAGTCATGTTGGATTAACCAATTGTCAATGTCATAATTTATTACATTATCAGAAAAATTATAATTGTTATCAATTTATTTATAAACTACTTAGTTACCCATAAAGTATACCTTAATGTAAAGTGTTACCATCTCAACACTAAGAAGTAGTGTCTCTGTCCCACCATCCCCAGTTGACCCATCACGATGACATAGTTTTTAGCCCAGTCGATCCATAACTCTGGTTTAGATTGCGTTCATTTGATTTGCTATGAAGTGCTAATCGATTTTTATTGTGCCTCAGGGAATTGTAAGCTGGCGGCGACATGGCATGCTTGAGAAAATGGGCGACTTCTTCACTGTGGTCCAGTCATAAATAAGGGTCAATGCCAGCTAGCAGACACAGCCCTCTGTCTGGATTGGTGCTGCTGGCTACTGTAGCAGTGATGTCACGGGTTAGTAGTGATGTCACGACCATAACTCCTCGTGCCCATGTCTCGCTCTCAGATGGACGGTGGTAAGGTGTGGAGGTTGGCTTCAGAGGCTGACGCCGAGGGAGACTCATCCCCCTGAAGGTGTCGTTAACCTGGCCTTAATGCCAGTGTAATCCCCTGGGCCTCTGGGGCTCTGGTCCTAATTAGGCCCCTTGTTAAAGCTCCTGTAACCTGCCATTACATTACAGACTGCAGTACAGCTAATTTGCATCTTAGCCAGGTCGTTTTTGGAAATGAGAACAGCTTCTCAATTCACATCCCATGTGACAGTATAGATATCTATTTTTCTATCTTTCTCTCTCAACCACCCCTTTCTGATTCTCACAGGAACAATCTGTCTGAGACACCAGGGTTTGGATATCTTCCTATGCATTATGGGTACTTTGAGTACTTACCATACTGAGTAGTTTCTGGAATACGCTCTCTCACGCTCTTTATCCCCTCTTTGTTTATTTTGACAGTATTCCTCTTTCTGCCTCTCTACCTGAAACCAAATTGTTCTCTGAAGCCTCTCTCTCTCAATTCAAAGGGCTTTATTGGCATGGGAAACATATGTTTACATTGCCAAAGCAAGTGAAATAGATAATAAACAATCAAAATAAACAGTAAACATTAACTCACAAAAGTGAGAAATTTTTTTCCAGAAAAACGCATGTCAAAAATGTTATTGTCATGAGGTGAGGTGTATGTGTGGTGGAAGTCAGGCGCAGGACACCGAGGCTCAGTCCAACAGAGTTTACTCAGAATTCCAAAAAGGACACGGTAAACTAACGACCTCAAACAAAAAGAGGCGAGCATTTACGCACATGCGTAAAACACTAAAATAACAAACAAGAAACGTAACACGCAACACAAGACAGGCGAACAACAACACACAATCCTACCAAGCAAAAAGACGGAACTTATAGGACAGGTGATGAATACACAATAGGACACAGGTGTGACAGACAGACAAAAGCAAACACACACAGAAACATAGATCGGTGGCAGCTAGTACTCCGGGGACGGCGACCGCCGACGCCTGCTCGTACCAGGAGGGGGAGCAGCCTCGGCAGAATCCGTGACAGTACCCCCCCCTTGACGCGCGGCTCCAGCCGTGCGCCGACCCCGGCCTCGGGGACGGCCAGGAGGACGCGGACCCGGGCGCGTGGGATGCCCACGGTGGAAATCAGTCAGGAGGGATGGATCGAGGATGTCCCTCCTGGGCACCCAGCACCGTTCCTCCGGACCGTACCCCTCCCACTCCACGAGATACTGGAGACCACTCATCCGGCGCCTCGAGTCCAAGATGGTCCGGACTCTGTACGCCGGGGCCCCCTCGATGTCCAAAGGGGGCGGAGGGGTCTCTCCTATCTCATTATCCTGGAGTGGACCAGCTACCACCGGCCTGAGAAGAGACACATGGAACGAGGGGTTAATATTTTTGTACTCTATAGGCAGTTGTAACCTGTAACACACCTCGTTCAACCTTCTCAGGACTTTAAAGGGCCCCACAAACCGCCGACCCAGCTTCCGGCAGGGCAGGCGGAGGGGCAGGTTTCGAGTCGAGAGCCAGACTCGATCTCCCGGTGCGTACACCGGCCCCTCACTGCGGTGGCGATCGGCGCTCGCCTTTTGTTGACGGATGGCACGCTGCAGATGGACATGGGCAGCGTCCCACGTCTCCTCCGAGCGCCGAATCCACTCGTCCACCGCAGGGGCCTCGGTCTGGCTCTCGTGCCACGGTGCCAGGACCGGCTGATACCCTAAAATACACTGGAAAGGTGTTAATCCGGTGGAGGAGTGGCGGAGAGAGTTCTGGGCCATCTCTGCCCAGGGGATATACCTCGACCACTCCTCCGGCCGGTCCCGGCAATAGGACCTCAAAAACCTACCCACATCCTGGTTCACACGTTCAACCTGCCCATTGCTCTCTGGGTGGTACCCCGAGGTAAGGCTAACCGAGACCCCCAGGCGTTCCATGAAAGCCCCCCAGACTCTGGAGGTGAACTGGGGACCTCGGTCGGACACAATATCCTCGGGGACCCCATAGTGCCGGAACACGTGGGTAAAGAGGGCCTCGGCGGTCTGTAGGGCAGTAGGGAGACCCGGCAGTGGGAGGAGACGACAGGCCTTAGAAAACCGATCCACAACGACCAAAATGGTGGTATTACCCTGGGAAGGGGGTAGATCGGTCACAAAATCTACCGAGAGGTGGGACCATGGTCGTTGTGGAACGGGCAGAGGATGTAACTTACCTCTGGGCAAATGTCTAGGTGCCTTACACTGGGCACATACCGAGCAGGAGGAGACATAAACCCTCACATCCCTGGCTAACGTTGGCCACCAGTATTTTACGCTAAGGCAGTGCACCGTCCGACCAATACCAGGATGTCCAGAGGAGGGTGATGTATGAGCCCAAGAAATAAGCCGATCACGAACCTCGAGCGGAACGTACGTCCGCCCCACAGGACACTCGGGGGGAGTAGGGTCGGTACGCAGCGCCCGCTCGATTTCCGCATCGACCTCCCATACTACCGGAGCCACCAGACAAGACTCCGGCAGTATGGAAATAGGCTCAATGGACCTCTCCTCTGTGTCATACTGCCGGGACAGGGCGTCTGCCTTACCGTTCTGGGACCCAGGGATGTATGTGATCTTAAAAACAAACCGGGTCAGGAACATGTTCCACCTAGCCTGACGAGGGTTCAATCTCCTAGCTGCCCGGATGTACTCCAGGTTACGGTGATCAGTCAGAATGAGGAAAGGGTGTTGAGCCCCCTCAAGCCAATGCCTCCACACCTTTAGGGCCTGGACTACAGCTAACAGCTCTCTGTCCCCAACGTCATAATTGCGCTCCGCCGAGCTGAGCTTCTTAGAGTAGAATGCACAGGGGCGGAGCTTAGGTGGCGTGCCGGACCGTTGTGACAGGACTGCCCCAATACCGGTCTCGGACGCGTCCACCTCTACTTGGAAAGGCAAAGAGGGATCCGGATGCGCCAGCACCGGGGCCGAGGCGAACAGGTTCTTCAGCTTGACAAATGCCATGTCCGCCTCAGCTGACCACTGCAAGCGCACCGGACCCCCCTTTAGCAGGGACGTAATGGGAACTGCAACCTGTCCAAAGCCCCGGATAAACCTCCGGTAGTAATTAGCAAAACCCAAGAACCGCTGCACCTCTTTTACGGTGGTTGGAGTTTGCCAATTACGCACAGCCGATACCCGATCTACCTCTATCTCCACGCCAGACGCGGACAACCGATAACCCAAAAAGGAGACGGACTCCTGGAAGAACAGGCATTTCTCTGCCTTGACATACAAGTCATGCTCCAACAGTCGTCTCAATACTCGGCGCACCTGGGCTACATGCTCGGCTCGTGTAGAAGAGTACACCAGGATGTCGTCGATGTAAACTACTACACCTTGCCCATGCATGTCCCGGAAAATCTCGTCAACAAAGGATTGGAAGACTGAAGGAGCATTCATTAACCCGTATGGCATGACGAGATACTCGTAATGACCCGAGGTGGTACTAAATGCTGTCTTCCATTCATCCCCCCCCTTAATGCGCACCAGATTGTACGCGCTCCTGAGATCTAACTTTGTGAAGAATCGCGCTCCGCGTAATGATTCCGTCATCGTCGCAATCAGTGGCAGTGGGTAGCTGTATTTAACTGTAATCTGATTGAGACTACGATAATCAATACACGGGCGCAATCCCCCGTCCTTCTTCTTCACAAAGAAGAAACTCGAGGAGACTGGGGAAGTAGAAGGCCGTATGTATCCCTGTGCCAAGGACTCGGCTATGTATGTCTCCATAGCCGCTGTCTCCTCTTGAGACAGGGGATACACATGACTCCTGGGAAGAGCTGCTCCAGTCTGGATATTTATCGCACAGTCCCCCTGTCTATGAGGAGGTAGCCTTGTTGCCCTCGATTTACTAAAGACCAGTGCTAAATCCTCATACTCGGGGGGAATGCGCAGTGCGGGCACTTGGTTCGGACTCTCTACCGAGGTCGCCCCTAAGGAAACACCTAGACATCTCCCTACACACTGGGCAGACCACTCCATAAGAGCCCTCTGTTGCCACGCTATGGTAGGATCGTGGGTACTTAACCAGGGAAGCCCCAACACCACTGGGTACGCAGGAGAGTCAATCAGATAGAACTGAATGATCTCCTCATGACCCCCCTGCGTAGTCATCGTCAGCGGTGCTGTGACATCCCTGATCAGACCCGACCCCAACGGCCGGCTGTCTAATGCATGGACAGGGAATGGAACTTCTACCGGCCGAAGGGGAATTCCTAACCTAGCACAAAATTTACGATCAATAAAGTTCCCAGCTGCGCCTGAATCTACTAGCGCCTTATGCTGGGAATGAGGTGCCACCTGTGGAAAACGCACAGGAATACTCATGTGACCAACAGAGAGCTCTGGGTAAGTGGGGCGCCTACTCACCTGAAATGACTCCCCAGTGCGTGACCTGTTGTCCCCTCTCTCAGAAGACCCTCCCCAGCACCTGGCCGTGGTGTGTCCTCCACGGCCACACTTTTTTTTTTTTTTTTTTTTTTTTTATTTCACCTTTATTTAACCAGGTAAGCCAGTTGAGAACAAGTTCTCATTTACAACTGCGACCTGGCCAAGATAAAGCAAAGTAGTGCAATAAAAACAACAGAGTTACATATGGGGTAAAAAAAACATAAAGTCAGAAAATACAACAGAAAATATATATACAGTGTGTGCAAATGTAGCAAGTTATGGAGGTAAGGCAAACTTGGTGCAGGGGTGGGCCCTCCTCGGGTTCTCCCTCCTCCTCTCTCTAGCGCCAGCACCCCCGAGCTCCATAGGAATAGGCTCGGAGGTGCTGGAGGATGGAATGGACGACCCCCACTCGGGACGTCCGCGGGTAGCCAGCAGGGTGTCTAGACTGATGGAGATGTCCACCAGCTGGTCGAACGACAGGTTGATGTCCCTGCAGGCCATCTCACGACGAACGTCCTCTCGTAGGCTACACCGATAGTGGTCAATGAGGGCCCTCTCATTCCATCCCGCATCCGCTGCTAGTGTCCGGAACTCCAGTGCGAACTCCTGTGCGCTCCTCTTCCCCTGTCGGAGGTGGAATAGACGCTCTCCCGCCGCTTTCCCCTCAGGTGGATGATCGAAGACAGTCCTGAAGCGGCGGGAAAACTCCGCGTAGGTGATGGTGGCGGCGTCTATTCCCCTCCATTCGGCGTTGGCCCACTCCAACGCCTTCCCGGAGAGACAGGAGATGAGGGCGGAGACGCTCTCGTATCCCGAGGGCGCCGGGTGTATGGTGGCAAGGTAAAGTTCTACCTGTAGGAGAAAGCCCTGACACCCGGCTGTAGAACCGTCATATGCCCTCGGGAGCGAGAGCCGAATGCCACTGGGTTCCGGTGCTGAGAGAGGAGGACTGGCCGTTGGTGCTGGGATGGTGTGAGAAGGCGTGGGCACCTCCCGATTCATCAACCGGCGCAGACTGTTGGACACCTCGTCCATGGCGACCCCGAGTTGCCGGATCATGGCGTCCTGGTAATTAATCCGGTCCTCCAGGGAATCGGGTATCGCCGCTGTTCCTGCTGACTCCATGGAGATGGTGTGTTGTTCTGTCATGAGGTGAGGTGTATGTGTGGTGGAAGTCAGGCGCAGGACACCGAGGCTCAGTCCAACAGAGTTTACTCAGAATTCCAAAAAGGACACGGTAAACTAACGACCTCAAACAAAAAGAGGCGAGCATTTACGCACATGCGTAAAACACTAAAATAACAAACAAGAAACGTAACACGCAACACAAGACAGGCGAACAACAACACACAATCCTACCAAGCAAAAAGACGGAACTTATAGGACAGGTGATGAATACACAATAGGACACAGGTGTGACAGACAGACAAAAGCAAACACACACAGAAACATAGATCGGTGGCAGCTAGTACTCCGGGGACGGCGACCGACGACGCCTGCTCGTACCAGGAGGGGGAGCAGCCTCGGCAGAATCCGTGACAGTTATAAATTGATTTGCATTTTAATGAGGGAAATAAGTATTTGACCCCCTCTCAATCAGAAAGATTTCTGGCTCCCAGGTGTCTTTTATACAGGTAACGAGCTGAGATTAGGAGCACACTCTTAAAGGGAGTGCTCCTAATCTCAGCTTGTTACCTGTATAAAAGACACCTGTCCACAGAAGCAATCAATCAGATTCCAAACTCTCCACCATGGCCAAGACCAAAGAGCTCTCCAAGGATGTCAGGGACAAAATTGTAGACCTACACAAGGCTAGAATGGGCTACAAGACCATCGCCAAGCAGCTTGGTGAGAAGGTGACAACAGTTGGTGCGATTATTCGCAAATGGAAGAAACACAAAAGAACTGTCAATCTCCCTCGGCCTGGGGCTCCATGCAAGATCTCACCTCGTGGAGTTGCAATGATCATGAGAACGGTGAGGAATCAGCCCAGAACTACACGGGAGGATCTTGTCAATGATCTCAAGGCAGCTGGGACCATAGTCCCCAAGAAAACAATTGGTAACACACTACGCCGTGAAGGACTGAAATCCTGCAGTGCCCGCAATGTCCCCCTGCTCAAGAAAGCACATATACAGGCCCGTCTGAAGTTTGCCAATGAACATCTGAATGATTCAGAGGAGAACTGGGTGAAAGTGTAGTGGTCAGATGAGACCAAAATCGAGCTCTTTGCCATCAACTCAACTCGCCGTGTTTGGAGGAGGAAGAATGCTGCCTATGACCCCAAGAACACCATCCCCACCGTCAAACATGGAGGTGGAAACATTATGCTTTGGGGGTGTTTTTCTGCTAAGGGGACAGGACAACTTCACCGCATCAAAGGGACGATGGACGGGGCCATGTACCGTCAAATCTTGGGTGAGAACCTCCTTCCCTCAGCCAAGGCATTTAAAATGGGTCGTGGATGGATATTCCAGCATGACAATGACCCAAAACACACGGCCAAGGCAACAAAGCAGTAGCTCAAGAAGAAGCACATTAAGGTCCTGGAGTGGCCTAGCCAGTCTCCAGACCTTAATCCCATAGAAAATCTGTGGAGGGAGCTGAAGGTTCGAGTTGCCAAACGTCAGCCTCAAAACCTTAATGACTTGGAGATGATCTGCAAAGAGGAGTGGGACAAAATCCCTCCTGAGATGTGTGCAAACCTGGTGGCAAACTACAAGAAACGTCTGACCTCTGTGATTGCCAACAAGGGTTTTGCCACCAAGTACTAAGTCATGTTTTGCAGAGGGGTCAAATATTATTTCCCTCATTTAAAATGCAAATCAATTTATAACATTTTTGACATGCATCTTTCTGAATTTTTTTGTTGTTATTCTGTCTCTCACTGTTCAAATAAACCTACCATTAAAATTATAGACTGATCATGTCTTTGTCAGTGGGCAAACATACAAAATCAGCAGGGGATCAAATACTTTTTTCCCTCACTGTATTCTGCCACTGTGTACTCTCTGTTTAGGGCCAAATAGCATTCCATTTTGCTCTGCTTTACTTTTCGTCAGCCATCAAGATGAGTAGGCCTAACGAACAGTATAGTACAAAGGTCGACCTATTCTATTCTGTGCAATAAATAAATATTCAAAAAATAGTCTGGGACAGTTGTGGGATGCGATAGATCCCAAATTAATACAACCACTAGCATCAAAAACCTTTTTTACGCAATGTGGCTGACTCAACAGATCAGAACGTTTAGCTTAAAATGTTGATAAACTGTTAGGCTATTTCTTCACAATAATAGGCGCAGCAATGCGCACATGGTAGTAGGCTATAAGCGCGAATGTTCCATTAACGGAAAACACTATTATCAAAAGTGAACGCAAATGCAATTATGCATGTAATGCTTTTATTATAAAGGTGCATTTTTATGGTGAAAATAATCTTCCCCAAACTTGAAACTCACGTGCTGCTTATGTATGCCAGTTAGGCTCTACACCCCTTGTAAAGTGTATTAATGTGCTTAATTTTAAGAAGTTATTTGGGTGCTCTAGTTGTGATACAAACCTTATTAAAACATATAGGCCTATGGGCTCTTTTCTGGATTTTGATAATTCATGGATATCGGCCTAATTCTGCTCTGGATGCATTATTTGGTGTTTTACGTTGTACACGAATGATGTTTTTGCAGAATTCTGCATGCAGAGTCTGTTTGGTGTTTGTCCCATTTTGTGAATTCTTGGTTGGTGAGCGGACCCCAGACCTCACAACCAAAAAGGGCAATGGGTTCTATAACTGATTCAAGTCTTTTTAGCCAGATCCTAATTGGATGTTGAATTTTATGTTCCTTTTGATGGCGTAGAAGGCCCTTCTTGCCTTGTCTCTCAGATCATTACCTGTGGTTCTGATGTTTAGGCCAAGGTAGGTATAGTTTTTTTGTGTGCTCTAGGGTAACGGTGTCTAGATGGAATTTGTATTTGTGGTCCTGGCAACTGGATCTTTGTTGGAACACCATTATTTTTGTCTTACTGAGATTTATTGTCAGGGCTTCGGCTGACAGAATCTGTGCAGAAGATCTAGGTGCTGCTGTAGGCCCTCCTTGGTTGGGGACAGAAGCACCAGATCATCAGTAGACAGTAGACTTCAAATTCATTGATATATAGATTGAAGAGGATGGGTGGTCTGTATATTTTATAATATCATTTAGGAAGCGATCAACACCACAGGCCTTTTTGGGTTGGAGGGTTTGTAGTTTGTCCTGTAGTTCATTCAATGTAATTGGAGAATCCAGTGGGTTCTGTTAGTCTTTTAATAGCTGATTCTAAGATTTGTAATTTATCATGTATATGTTTTTGCTGTTTGTTCTTTGTTATCGAGCCAAAAAGATTAGAGAAGTGGTGTATCCATACATCTCCGTTTTGGATAGATAACTCTTCATGTTGTTGTTTGTTTAGTGTGTTCCAATTTTCCCCGAAATGGTTAGATTCTATAGATTCTTCAATTACATTGAGCTGATTTCTGACGTGCTGTTCCTTCTTCTTCCGTAGTGTATTTCTGTATTGTTTTAGTGATTCACCATAGTGACAGCGTAGACTCAGGTTTTCTGGGTCTATGTTTTTGGTTGGATAGGTTTCTAAATTTCTTTCTTAGGTTTTTGCATTTTTCAACAAACCATATGTCATTATTTAAAATTTTCTTAGGTTGTCTGCTTGAATTTTTTAGATTTGATAAGGTCAAATATACAGTTTAGGCTTTCTACTACCAAGTTTACACCTTCACTATTAAAGTGAAATGTTTTGTCCAGGAAGTTGTCTAAAAGGGATTGAATTTGTTGTTGCCTAATAGGTTTCTACACTACTTTCCTTCCACCTATAGCATTTCTTAATATTGTGCAGTTCCTTTGGCTTTGATGCCTCATGAGTATTATCTGTTCAAGTAGACTGTGATTTTACTATGATCTGATAGGGGTATCAGTGGGCTGACTGAACGCTCTGACAAACTCTGGGTTGAGGAAGGTGATAAAGTAATCTACAGTACTACTGCCAAGGGATGAGCTGTAGGTGTACCTACCATAGAAGTCTCCTCGAAGCCTACCATTGACTATGTACAGACCCAGCGTGCGACAGAGTGCTCTCTCTGTCAATTCAAAGGGCTTTATTGGCATGGGAAACATATATGTTTACATTGCCAAAGCAAATGGAATAGACAATAAACAAAAGGTAAATAACCAAGGGAAACATTAGTAAACATTACACTCACAAAAGTTTTAAACGAATATAGACATTTCAAATGTCTCTCTCTCTTTGTCCCTCTTCCCCATAATCACCTCACACATCTGGGGCTTTCCACTGGGACGAGCTTCACACCTTGGCGCGCTCTGTGACAACCGGTACCGCTGGCCTGCCTGGCACTCACCGCCCAGCCCCTGTCCAATCAACACCTGCACTCTCTCTCTCTCACTCCCTCTCCTTCTCTCTCTCCCTCCCTCTCTCTACTACACTCTCTGCCTGTGTAATGGCTCCTTTCCTCCTCTCCACACCATTTATTTTTAGGAGATGACACCTTGAGACTTTATTAATATGAATTTCTTCATGCAATGTCATACAAACCTGTCTGGACCAAATTAATGAGATATGTACATAATTCATATTGATTGATAGATGGTGTGTGTGGGGGGGGGGGGATAGGGGTGGTGTATTTAATTCAGGAGGAAGGAGTCGTGTGTGTGTGTGTGTGGTATTCCTGTTCATGCGCCACTAACATCCCTGAAGTATCAGGCCTTTTCCCCTCTTAACGGGCCAATTATGTTACTGCTGCTAGTCAATGCGGTGGCCACCCCCACACTCCTACCCTCTCCTCTCCTCTCCTCTCCTCAGGAAGGTCAAGCTGATTGGCAGAGATTAATGGGCAGATCTGGGCGAGAGAGGTGAGAGTGGGGGTCAAGCACCCACAGGCACTCTACCACCTCTCCACCTCGTCTCCAGACTGCTAGAGGCCATTTAGCAAGAGGACTTTTATACCAACAGGATTAACCTTGGCTCTTCATCCTCAGCAGTTACTTACTCTCTAGTGTTGTAGGAGAGACAGAATTCTCTGTGCTATTGTGTAATTACCTTGTTGGTACAGTGTAATACATGAGGTAATGCAAATAAAAGATGGTGAAAGGTCGGTTGAAAAGGATAGTGAAAAGGTACCAAACTACTGGCTACTGACTGCTTAATTAGAGGCTAGTTGAGTGTCTCTTGGGCCAATCCTTCACATGTATCATAGCAGCTCAGAGCTGAGTGTGCTGTGCATACCACTCAGAGCAAAGACAGCCTCTCCTCCCCATAGAGAGAGGCCAGAGCCACCAAGATCCTTGACCTCCCCTCAGGCTCCTGCCCTGGAGCCCTATAGTCTAATGTTTCTAACCTGTCAGTCAGGTTGAGGGGACTCTGGCCACTGCTTATGCTCCCCACTGCAGGCTCTCAGTGGAGCTAATTGACCTGTTTGGCTCCTGTCTAGCCTGTGAGAGGGAGACCTCAGGATAGGGTTTTGAAGCCCTCTCCTCTGGACTCTAATCCGGTGGTGTGGAGACCCCTGTTGTGAGGCCCTCTCAACAGATTAACCTCTTGGTGTGTCCTGAACTCTCACACTGCCAGCTCCCATCCCACAGCCTAAAATGATGGTTTCCATTTGCTTTGTACAATTCTCAGAGGATGAGAGGACTGCGTTCCAGTCCGCTGGAAGTTCCAGTTGACAGAAAAGGAAATACTTGTTTTCACTCTGCTCTCCGTTAGATGAACTCTGTCTTTGTGTTGTTCTGGTGGACTAATAATCCTAGTCCTTTGGCTAGTATGAATGATAATCCCAGATGGATGCGTATGTCCCTCCCTGCTCTGTGTGGGGAGCAGTATGTGTGAGTGATGTTGTGCAAAATAGAGGTCAGCGCTGGACTGATTTCTTCATCCCGCACCCGCCCGCTCCCGCTGGCTTTCTGTCCAACTCCCACATGCTACCGCAAGAACTGGTCCCGAACCCAACCGCAGTCCCACAATGTTATTTTAGGTGTATGTGATGCAGCTCACTCGCCAGCCATGGTCCCAGCAGTTGTGTGCCCTATAGACAATATCAAAATGCGCAAACATAACCTAAGAAGTAGCCTAGGTTAAATTACCAGAGATTGTCACGTGGGCCATTATACACTGCATGACCAAAAGTATGTGGACACCTGCTCGTCGAACATCTCATTCCAAAATCATGAGCATTAATATGGAGTTGGTCCCCCCTTTGCTGCTATAACAGCCTCCACTCTTCTGGGATGGCTTTCCACTGGATGTTGGAACATTGCTGCAGGGATTTGCTTCCATTCAGCCACAAGAGCATTAGCGAAGTCGGGTATGAATGTTGCGCGACTAGGCCTGGCTCGCAGTCAGCGTTCCAATTCATCCCAAAGGTGTTAGATGGGGTTGACGTCAGGGCTCTGTGCAGGCCAGTCAAGTTCTTCCACACCAATCTTGACAAACCATTTCTGTATGGACCTCACTTTGTGCACATGGGCAATGTCATGCTGAAACAGGAGGGGGCCTCCCCAAAGGGCCTCCCCAAACTGTTGCCACAAATTTGGAAGCACAGAATTGTCTAGAATGTCATTGTATGCTGTAGCGTTAAGATTTCCCTTCACTGGAACTAAGGGGCCTAGCCCGAACCATGAACAACAGCCCCAGACCATTATTCCTCCCCTACCAAACTTTACAGTTTGCACTATGCATTGGGGCAAGTAGCGTTCTCTTGGCATCCGCCAAACCCAGATTAGTTTGTCGGACTGCCAGATGGTGAAGCGTGATTCATCACTCCAGAGAACGTATTTCCACTGCTCCAGAGTCCAATGGCGGCAAGCTTTACACTACTCCAGCTTCAGCACTCGGCGGTCCCGTTCTGTGAGCTTGTGTAGCCTACCACATCGTGGCTGAGCCGTTGTCGCTCCTAGACATTTCCACTTCGCAATAACAGCACTTACAGTTGACCAGGGCAGCTCTAGCAGGGCAGAAATTTGATGAACTGACTTGTTGGAAAGGTGGCATCCTATGACTGTGCCACTTCAGAAAGGCCATTCTACTGCCAATGTTTGTCTATGGAGATTGCATGGCTGTGTGCACGATTTTATACACCTGTCAGCAACGGGTGTGGCTGAAATAGCCAAATCCACTAATTGAAAGGGATGTCTAAATACTTTTGTACTTCTAGGCAATGTAGTAAACTGTAGCCTAATCATATTTAGGAAGTACATTTCCTTGGAAATATAACTGCCAGTGATTCTCCACCCATGCATAGGCTGTATCCTACTCTATTTTAATTGAGACCACATGCGCACCTGATCTCGCACCTATGGCTACTGAATTTGAAGCAGCAAGAATGATGAGAGCGGACACTTACACTTTCAAACATTTGGGATTGCACTTCGACTAACGTTGGTTGAGTGTCCTCCACTTTCCATTATCAATATCTATGTACAGACACTGTAGTAAACTATAGCCTATTCATATTTAAGTAAATTTCCTTGGAAAGATGACTGCCAGTGATTCTCCACCCATGCATAGACAGTCTACTCTATTTCATTGAGACATATATATATATATATATATATATATATATATAATAACTAGGCACACTTGATCTCACACACCCAACTAGAGAGGAAGGCTACTGGTGTTGAAGCAGTGAACTGAGAGTGTGTGAATAATGCTACAAAGATGTGTTTTTAATACAATAGGTAGGCTAACACATACAAAGTAGAAAGAGGACAGTTTCCAAATAATCTGTGGGACAACAAAAATATTTTCATCCCAAAGTTGTCTGTCTGAACGCCCGCTCCCACCCGCAGCATGAAAAATGCAGACCGCGCCGCAATGATCTCTGTCGGGACCTGCAGGTCCCGCGGGCATACAGCCCTCTTGTACAAGGGTCAGGGGGCAGTGAGGCCTTCTGTCAGCAGGGTGCAAGGGGGCACAAAGAGAGAGGGGTGGCAGGCAGGCCTGCTCAGAATGCCTCTCTCTGGAGAGATTGAGGTGGGGGGGGGTTAAAATGTGGATGGGGGTGGGGGGGGGGGCACTGAGGTTCAATATAAGTCCCTCTGGACTGGGAGGGTGCAGAGAGAGACTGAGGATGGATCCCTCTGGAGGAAGAGGGAGAGAGAAGGGGTGTAGGGGTCCCGGGCCAGAGCAGCCTGCTAATGAAGAGCCATCTGAGGCCCTATTCACCTTGAACATGGCTCACTGCTGCTGCTACTACTCACTGCTGCTGCCTGACCTTGGCTTTGATCCACAAAGGCGCTTGACCCTGGATTCCCCCTTGGCCACCCTGCCATCTGGACATTACGCTCTCACACACACACACACACACACACACGCATGCATATGCATCATGCGTTAACACATGCACGCACACGTGCAGACACACACACGTGCACTATTGTGTGTGTGCCGTCTGTTTCAGGGAACACATATTGGCTTGTTTATAAGAGTGCCAGAGTTCTTAATGTGTGGAGGCTACATGCGAATTGTACACACACACACACACCTCACCCAACAGGCACACACCGGCTTTATCTGAGTTATAAGTCACTGCCTTTTGTCCCAGTGAGCACCATGGGGGCAGAGTTAGTGGAGGGGAGGGGTTGTTGTAGGGCAGGAGGACTATTATCTATTAAATGCCTACATGTTGTTGCTATTGTCAAGTGGATTTGAAATGTGATTTTTTAGTCATAACCAAGCCTTTGTGATTTCTCCTTCTCTCACAGTTTCTTTTAAAGGCTGACCTGTTGTTGAGTGAGGTCAGAGCATTATTTTACATTGCAGGTTGTTTCCAAACTCGTCTGACTGAAAAGATTTGTCAGTTGCTCACACAGCGTTCTGACACGCTTCAGAGACATGATATTCCCACTCCGCTCCTCTCCCTAATGGGAACGGGCAGCTGCTTGGAACTTGGGGGAATATTGGGAGGTTCTTAGTGGTAGAACATGCTTCTCTGGAAGCCTCTCAACCGCTCTTTTTTACTTTACAGTTCAACTGTGAAATGACAGTTATTCTACGGATAATTGCGTTGATACCGCATAAACTTTTTTGTTTTCATCCTGCCAAGCTCCCTGTAGTATAGCCTAATGGTTTTGAGTGCCAGAGGCATACAGTAGCCAGAGGCATACAGTAGCCAGAGGCATACAGTAGCCAGATGCATACAGTAGCCAGAAGCATACAGTAGCCAGAGGCCTACAGTAGCTGGTACATTATCTGTAATCGATAAATAACATACCAACATAGCCATCTCTTGGGTAATGGCCATTCCACCTGAAGAGGTAATTCCTTAACAGATATGTGTTGCCACAGAGAGAGAGAGTTTGTCAGCCAGGGAAGGGTCAGTGGGTTTGGCGAACACGACATGGATATGCTTTTTGTGTCACTGTCCCTTGATTTAATTACTGGGTGCTAGGCAAGCAGGAACAGCTTTTGTGGGGGAACATCCTGTACCTAGCCTATAGTCATTAGAGACAAAGACAGAGGGAGGGGACAACCATAGAAATGGAATTACTAATTCAACATTACCACTCACATTGTATCTAAGCTTTTATAGGGATTTCTGTGCTACAAGTTTAAATCCACAGAAGCCACGTATTTACTGATTGCAGTCATTCGGTTCTCTTTCCTGATCTCTCTCTGTTGGATATAGTGGGAAGAGGAATCGACAGAGTGTAGGGTGGAGGAGAGGCGTGTGTCAGAGAAGAGTGGAGGGCCACCCCAGCTGGAGTCAATATTTGCTTTAGGAATCACAATAATAGGCTGGGACACAGTCATCTGCATCTCTGATAATGGAAAACCATATGGCTCTGTTGGCCCAGTGGACTGGAGTTCTCTAGCTCTCTTTCTCTCTCTCTCTCTCCTCCCCCCTCTCTCTCTCTCTCTCTCTCTCTCTCTCTCTCTCTCTCTCTCTCTCTCTCTCTCTCTCTCTCTCTCTATCTCCACGTACATTCATAAAACCCGGGATATGACCTGTCACTTTGTGCTGTGACCAGGGTTGCCATGGCAGCAAAGTCTGTGATATTCTCTATTGTGTCCCCAGTCCTGGTTGAATCAGCAGGATCTGGAGGCAGGTAAAAGATGACCGTGAGCCTTACTGGCAGCCTCACACACAGCTCAGGTGATCTTAACCCATGCCCTTGTGTTGCCCCTACTCCATGGGTTTAAGCTTCATTGCTACAGCAAGACTGTTCTCTCTCCCTCTCTTCCTCCATGCCGCTTTCCCTCCCTCCCTCCCTCCGTGTGGTGAGCAGCTTGCCTGTCCTCAGGCTGGCCCAGGCCCTAGGCTCAGGTGCCCGTCAGTCCCAGTTTGAAACGGCTGCCTTACAGCCATTCGTCATGCCTGCCTCAACCCCTGCTGTGCCAGCATGTGCCCAGTCCATTCCATTTTAGCCAACCCAGCTTAGTCCAGCCCATACACATTCACAGGAAAGTCCACTTCCTGTGCCAGCCCTTCTTCTCTCCACCACTCTACCAGAGCAGAGGGGCCCTAGCAACAGCCTAGCAACACTTACTACAAGCAGCAGTCCCTTAATGAGAGGTGAATGAGCACAGTGGGTTCCTGGAGTGGGTGGCTATAGTATATGTCTGTTTGGGTCCACTCTTGACTGGCCATTTGTTAGGTGCAGTTTTCTAGAAGGAAAGGCAGAAACCGACAGCTAGCATAGTTAGTGCCATATTCTAACACACACACACACACACACACACACAAACACACACAGCAGCATTTTAAGCCCTTTTTTGTTATTCTGTTATTTTGTTCTAACCTGGCTGACTGTCTGTATCCATCCGGCACCATGCTCCCAGATTTCTCTCCCTGCCTGACACTCTGAATTTGAAATGTCTCCAATTTTCCCCCTGACGGGTTGGAGAAGTGCCATGGTGGGAGGGATGGAGGGACGTCTGAGAGCATCTCTCTGCCTCCAGCAGGGGTTTCATTAGAGTGCCCAGGGATGGGGCCCAGCAAGTAGAGGTGAGGGGAGGGTCATGCCTGTAGTGTTTTTATTTGGTGACTGCTTTCCCATTTGTGGCTGTGTGGCCAGGCTGATTGTCCTCTCCAGTGGTCTGGTTATTACTACTACTCTGTCTACTGACTCTGCCTTTGTTTCTGTCTGCTACTGTTGTTGGTCAGAAATGCTAATTTCTGTATTATGTGATGGATTTTCTTCATGTGTTGTTTGGTCTTGATTGACTATGTTTCTCCATTGATGAATTGAGGGTTTTGATTAGATTCATTGGGCTGTAAGTCAGCCCTTTTCTATGTATCTTCCTCTGTGGTTTTCCTTAACCCTGGCCCCAGCTATGAGGAGCGGGCGCTGTACCTGGAGGCCATTGTGCAGAACCACCGGGAGGTCATGACCTTTGAGGACTTTGCCTCGCAGGTCTTCTCCCCTTCACCCAGCTACTACCCAATGAGTGGGACAGGTAAGAATCTCCCCTCCTCACTTCCTCCACTTCCTCCTCTCTTCCTCCACAGCAGCACACCTGTTAGCCCTCCTCTTCAGGCCCCTCCATCTCTGTTTCCTGGTCCTTGTCTCCCACACTGATGAATATCAAAGGCAGCAGGGCCAAGCTCTCTCCGCACTGTCTGAGCAGCAGCATCAAAGACTTCACCGTGGCTCAACAACTTAGTCAGGCCCTGCTCCTTGTCTCCCCGTGTTCTGTTTCATCTCCTCCTTTCTGTTTTTATCTCCCTCTCATTTAATGAGCCTGATCGAAATATACATGTGACATGATTGAATGTGGGTCAAGCCCTGTGTATGTGATCGGAGTCTTCTTATCAGGGCCTCCATCCCCGTACCAGAGATGTGTAGTAACTAACAGTAGACGGTAAACACTGGGATCACACTGCTATCCTCCAGAGGTCAGGAAGAGGGGAGACAGAGGGGGACTTCATTAAACAATGTCTCCTCTTCCTGCCCTGCCTGGCCTAGATCTGATGGGTCTATAACAACAACAACAACAACACCACTAACATCCAATCAATACAGCAATGCTCTCATGCACTCTGATAAAACTGGACACCTGTCCTGTTCTACTTTGTGATAACTGGATCTGTTATTGTGTATGTCTAGTCTACGTGTGTGTGTGTGTGTGTGTGTGTGTGTGTGTGTGTGTGTGTGTGTGTGTGTGTGTGTGTGTGTGTGTGTGTGTGTGTGTGTGTGTGTGTGTGTGTGTGTGTGTGTTGTCCAGATCTCAGCGAGCAGCCCCAGAAGGCAGGGTTGATAAGCAGACTGGCAGAGGCAGGGGGTAGCCAGCTCTATTAACATAATTACAGTCTGCTCCTTTTACTGCAGAGGTGTAAAGAAGTCCCAACCACACCTGCACACTGTTTTGTGTTTTTTTTTTTTTGGGGGGGGGGGGGGGGGGGGGGGGTGTTTATCTGTATATCACTTGTTTTCTTTGGTGCAAATACAAAAATAAAAGAAGTACCAAACTGACCTCTATTGACCTTTCATCAACCAGAATACTAAACAGGGAGTATTCTGCAGGGAGAGGGAATCTGGGAGAGGGGGAGAAAAAGAGAGGGGAGAGGGAGGAAGTGGGAGGGAGCGATGGAAAGGCAGAGGTAAACAGAAAGGGAGAGATTGAAACAGAGAGGGGGGAGAGTGATAGAAAGGGATAGAGAAAATACTTGTAATTACCCAGTGCTGGGGCATTCATGTCTATCCTCTGCTGTTGTGTGTTTCTTTTTGTAGTGGGGCAGTAGTAGGATAGCTGGTTGGGTCCTCCATTGGGATTAAGGGAGCAATGGTCAGACAATAAACAATCATTTTCTCTTATCATTAAATGAGGGTTGGTTTCACAGCATGGTGCATCAGCTGGGTCTGATGGGAGCAGACATAACATCAAGACTTAATATAATAGCCCTCTTTAATGCATTCATCTGGAACAGCTATACGAATTGATGAATATACAAATAAATGGGCACATTTTGAGGCTATTGCTTCTGTTTGTCTGTCTATGTAAAAGTGTGTGTGGTGTATGCATACATTTGTGTGTGTGTGTCCAGGATTTGGGCTTTTGTCCACATTGGGTTTGGAATCAGCTAGCCCTCTGCATCAACTGTTTCTAGGCACAGCACCACACCACAGAGATACAGGGCAATTTCAGGAATCATTCTAGGTCTGCATGCAGACTTCACCTGGTAATCTTCTAAACAAGGGGGAGGTTAAATCCTAGTACACACACACACACACACACACACACACACACACACATACACACACATAGGTGCTCGCAGCTTCTTCCAGTGATAAACCAGGCTTTCCCGTTTTTTCAGAGAAGTGGTTTTGAATGGTTATTTTTTTTTTGTTTTTTGTCAACATGTTTTCATGTATTTATAGCAGTGGTACAAAACATTTATGTTCATAACATATAGTCTGTTTATGTCCTGTGTGTGGTTCTATGCATCAACAAGTGGTCACAAATATATTCACAGCCGGCTCCTTAGTTTTGTCCCTGTGAGTGTACCTTTGCTGTGTACTACCCTCTAATACAGGGTTCCCCATTTTATTTGGCCCACCAATTTTTTGAGCAAGAAAAACAACATTTTTGGGAATAAGACTGTAAAAACACAAGCAAATCAGCTCCAAGTGATTTTAATTTTGGAATTCTGCTCCAAAGTATTCCCACGCATAATAGAGAGATGTATGTGATAGTATACAAATGTAAGTAAGGTTTGAAATGATTGTTTTAGCCATATTATATCTGTTTTGCCATACACTGAGTGTACAAAACATTATGAACACCTGCTCTATCTATGACAGGCTGACCAGGTGAAAGCTATGATCCCTTATTGATGTCACCTGTTAAATCCACTTCAATCAGTGTAGATGAAGGGGAGGAGACAGGTTAAAGAAGGAGTTTTAAGCCTTGAGACAATTGAGACATGGATTGTGTATGTGTGCCATTCAGAGGGTGAATGGGCAAGACAAAAGATTGAAGTGCCTTTGAACGGGGTATGGTAGTAGGTGCCAGGTGCACCGGTTTGTGTCAAGAAC